TCCCACCCCCCCCCCCCCCCCCCCCCCCCCCCCCCCCCCCCCCCCCCCCCCCCCCCCCCCCCCCCCCCCCCCCCCCCCACTCGAGACAGAAAAGCGAGCTATCTCATTGGTCAACAGCACATCCATCTTCTCCCATACAAGGTAAATAATAGTGCCACTGAGTAAAAGCTATCTGCGGGAAGATCGTCTGTGGCCCCCGGGATACATGAACATCAGCAGGAACGGAAACGATACGATCACGACTAGAACTCCCTAACCGCTCCCGCGAGACATTGTCGTCCATATGAGAGGTGGATCGTATCATACTACATCGACACTATGTTATATTAGAGGTACCTTAGGTATGTATGTAGGATATCCTCATCCTTTATAAATTATGGGTAGGTACTTTATGGAGAAAAATATGAAGCACATTAGTAATTAATCAAGCTAGGTTAGATACGTCTTATATGTATCTAAGGTAGGTAAATCAAATCAACTTTTCCCATCGCCCATCGCCCATCGCCAACTCCCATAAACCGTACATGTTACAAAATAGGTTCGGACCCCACGGAACTTATTAGAGGTAGGTAAGTACTAGTCTAAAAGCCAAATCCCGACCGTTCCATCCATCCCTCCATACACTGTCTAGGTCAAAGGAACCTTACCTAGACCAAGTAATTAACATCCACCTCTCCTTCCTCATCCTCATCCTCCCCCTCCCCCTCCCCCTCCTCCTGCTGCTGCTGCTGTTCCCGTCTCAGCCGATCAAAGTTCTTCAGTATCTTCATCCCCGCAAGCACCTGGTTAACCCCCTCGCGGTGCCACTCGTCGACCCTCGCCCCCGCCAGCCCGCGCGCGCTCCCGTTGCTGCACATCTTCTCGAACCAGCGCCGCAGGTACCGCTGCTCCGCGTCCGGCCGCCCCGCGCCGTACGCCTCCTTCAGCTTCTCCCACCCGAAGGACCCGCCCGCGTCCTCGGCCGCCGGGTGGCCCGTGCCGCCGACGCACACGAAGTGATTCGTCGTGACGGCGTTAGCGTTAGCGTTAGCGTCGGCGGAGGCATTGTTGTTGCCGCCGCCGTCGTCCTCGACGTGCGTCCCCAGAAGCGCCATCTCGTGCTCCCACCCGTCCCCGAAGTCGTAGCTGTACACCATCTCGTACCCCGCGTACGCGGGGTCCTCGAAGAACTGCCGCAGCTTGAACCGGTTGGCCTTCTTCTCCGTCGGATTTGGCGGCTGCGGGAACCCCGGCATGTTGGGCTCGAAGTCTAGGGGCTCTTCGTCCGGGTCGACGACGCGGAGCGGCGGGGCCGGTGGGAGATCAGCTTCGGCTTCAGCAGCAGGGGGAGGGGGGAGGGGGTGGCTCGGTTGTTGCTGGAGCCTAGGATGGAGCGGGAGTGGTGGGCGCGGGCGCGGGCGGGAAGCCTCGAACTCGAAACAGTGAGTAGTCGCCCAGCCGAAAGCGATTTGTAGGGCCTTGTGGAGTTGGTAGAAGGTAGCCTCCGCAGGACAGGAGAGAGTGCGGGAGATGGGTGGGTTTGTGATTTCCCTGGGTAACAGGTCGAACTTCACGATGTAATTCGGCTGGAGGGTTCGCGTGGTAGCCATGATGCTAATAAGTTACTAGATTACCATTCGTCCAGTTCAATTAGGTAGGTGGGTAGGTAGGCTATAGTTAGTTGTTGGTATTTTCCGAGGCCACTTTCTCAACATAGACCTACCCACGCCGGTCAAGCAGGTTCATATAAGGTATTTCTCGACTCGCAGTTGGCGCCTCGAGAGTTCCGTTCCCGTGCGCGAACGGGGAATATACTAGAATACTACTAATTAGCAGACAACATGGATTAGCCTGGTTGGCCCGAGTTTAATTCACTGGCCGAGACCAAAACACTACCTTCTTCAAAACCACATAGGAGGTACTGTATGTACTGCTGTATGTATTGTAGTAGATCTGCTGAAGATTGACGTATGTCTTAATTATTGGCTAATTCCATTTGCCGTTACCTACCGCGTTCCCCGTAGAAAGCAATGCTTTGTGCGACCTGACTACTCACTTTCCTACCATCTCACTACCATTTGTTGTTTTTCTTGGTGGTTCTGAAACCCAATCTCGCATGGGATAGGTATCTAGATCATGCCAACAAACAGTAAGAACGAGCGATTTGCTTTACTATACGGTGTGTTTTACTACATTATTCCTTGCCCGTTTGTTAGCCAGTAAAGCCAGGTGACCTCCTAATCTCCTTGTTCGCGTCTCTCGTTAGCGATATTACTTAGTAGTTCTCTACCTACATATATAAGTACCGGACGCCACGTCTATGCAATTATTTCAAACACTGTTGCAGGTGGGCTTGCTGACGGGAAATTACTGACCCAGAAGCTCCTGAGCTATTTGGATCCTCTCTTCTTCCGTCAACTCGTGGCTGTTGGCCTTCTCCGCCTTGGCCTCGTCAAATCGCCAAAGACCTCCTGTCTTGTCCGCGTCGCCATTGGGGGTTAACCCAACACTGGGACCCAACGCTTCAAGAGTCGCATCCGGCTCGGTGACGGCAGTAAAATATCTCCGCTGCCACTCCCGACCTTCTGATTGCTCCTTTTTCCGCATTGCTCGCTGCGCCTGCTCGATCTTGGTCTTCTCCTTGCCGACATAATCCATATCCCCTTTAGCAATGCCCATTGCGACATTAGCCCATGCGCGCCGAGACTCTAGCGGGTGCTGCTTCTCGAGAGGCGCAACAATGAGCTCTGACGTGGGGATGTCGGCAGGATCCCAATTTCCAATCAGAGTCTTGGATGAGTTGTACTTCACCGGGCCGGAATAAATCTCGAATGCTTTCGTCCATTGGCCGGAGCAGCTATATAGCACTTCTTTTTCCTTGCCCGTTGGGTATAGAGTAGCCGTAAACGAGTTCTTCTTGCCACTTATCCACCCCTTACCGCTATAGTCTATCTTAGCAGTGAACCCAGTCGAGGACGTGATGTAAGATGCGCTGTCGAGCTCAATAAAAGGGGCGCCAAAAATTAAGCCTTCGACGTGAAGGGATGGTAGCGTGATCAAGTAGGTATCTTTCTCCCCTGGCTTGGAGGGGTCTGGAACCGTCAATACCGCATGTCCTATCTGTTTGATATTGATCGTCTTGGAGAAGCTGGCCTTCTGCGCATTGTATCCCTGGAGATGTACTCCGGACGGTTTGTTGATAATACTATACGCCGTTGCTGGCGGGTGGTGGCTAAGTCGTGGTGTTAGCTAAGAGGTATTTACATGTATTGCTTCTTGGTACCGCTGAGATCAACTGCGCCGAACTTACTTCACCTGTTCACTAATCAACTCGGTTGTCCCTGCTTCATCTTCCCACTTCCCTAGGAAGAGTTCGCCCAAAAAGGGATTGAGGGGCTTCTTTTCGTTGCCATATTGCTCGCTACGACTTGCGTATTGCTGCTTAAGGGTAGTCAAGAACCACTTAAGCACTAGCAAAGCCCTCTTTGCGGGATCGGGCTCCTTTGCTGGCGCTGCGAAGATGCTGGGATGTTCAGCCCAGTAGGAGCTGAACTCGGTGAGACTCGTAGAGGAAAGGATGAAGGGCGGGGCTGTAAGAGAGGAGAGATCGCCGTTGAAAGACGCGATAGACTGTGTCGCAAAGTGGTCAGCATGGAGTAAAGAACTAGAGTGAGATCGGATTCTTTTGACTGACCTTGAGGAACGCAGTCCAAGTAGAGCCAGTGGCCTGAGGGTTCGGTGTAACTTCTGACATGGTTGTGATATGCTGCGCGATTCGGCGGAGACCCTCCGGATTTCCAAAAAAAAAAAAAAAATGCGATGAAGCTGCTTTCGAGTAACGCGAAGGAAGATGAGCGACCTGACGGGATGATGAAGTATGGGTGGGGGATAACTGAGCTCCACAAACGATCTAAGGCTAAAAAAAAGGGGGCGGAAAAGTTGGGTTAATTCTTTATCCCTGATAAAAATTAATTACCTAGGATACTAGAGCTACTAGGAAGTATATAAATAGAGGTACGTATTAATAATGTATAAGGGAATCTACGAGGCGTCTTATTTTTTGGAAGATGCGGAAATAGCTCTTATGGCCGTGTGATAATCCAAAAACGGATTGTTTTTCTTTCAGCCGTGTAAAAGCAGAGAGTTGGAGGTGTAGAGCTGAGTAATATAATTAATAGATAATTTTAATGAATTTGAAGAGAAACGGGTAGGGGTATCATTCTAAAGGGTTGACGTCAAAAAAATTAAAGTTCTGCACACGTCATTGACCCTGGTATGGTACCTCGACGTAATCCCTGCTCATATGCGCGGATTGATTGGATCTAGCATAGACTTAAATCGCGTGCCAACTTTTGAACCCTCTCTCACCGTGCTGCGCTATATCGCTAAAGTACAGACACGTACATAATGCACGGGTGGGTACATAATGTACCTAGAAAAATGCTTTCTATTTTACGCGTAAACTCCACTAGCCTTGCAGCGTAACATCACATATGTGTTGTACATCATACCTATACAGGAGGTATGATCTGTTGGGTCCAACCAGATATTCCCATCATATTGCTCGTAGTCTCTACTCACAACCACTAATTTTCATATCCAACGAACATGGAGGGGCACAACAGCCGAAATCCAATTAGGATTAGAATGCTTCATTAAAAATTACATTCCGTCCCGGGTATCATTCCAACCAAGCCAGGTGCCCCGTTCCCCTCTACGAAGTCTATATATATAAACGCCGCCCGTCCAACCAGTGCATCTCTGCTGAATGAAACAGCTGATCCAATACCATACAGACCAGTATATATATAGAACGGAATACCAGACACTATTAAAGAGACAAAAACAGGGGCCTACGCTGGGCCATGACATGAGTTTTCCAGCTTCTGGCCTAGCTGACCATTGATACCAGAAAACCGACCCTCGCTAACATCTCCGAGGATGGCCCATCGCGCAATGTGACATTTTTGGCTCCTTGGATCGAACGTCCAAGCCAAACATTCGTTCGGTCGGTCATGGCAGATTTTGACGCAAGCATCGACTTCCGCGACCTTTTCCACGGTTTTGCTGTACTCATCTAGTCGCCCGACGTAGTCCACATTAGATCGAATCGGTTCGGCAATAAATGAAGCAAAACTCGGGGCGCCGTAGATTTTCCCCAGCTGTCTCCAAAATACGGGTTCTGTCATGTTCTTGAACGTCTCTCCTACATGCACCATGGCATTGTCGTGGCCGAGACCGTGGAAAGAAACTAGGGGCAGACAGAATCTGTCGATCCACATCCGCGTCATCGACGGGGACTCGCCGTTAAATAGGCGTCGGTATGTTTCGTCAAGGTAGATGCCGATCTTCATGAATGTTGTAGAAAGTAATTTATCGCCCCAAATTGCCGTAGCCGATTCCTCGTGGCCCTCAGCAACGACCTCCGGGTGTTCGTCGTATAGCTTTTTCAGAGCAGCGCCGGACATAACTACAGATGATCCGCCATGCGGGAAACGACCCTTGTAGTCGCCCACGGGATTTCCGATAAACTGCGGTTTGGAGTAGTCCAAATGCCCTAGGAGTAAAGCCAAGGATGATTTGATGATATATGTGTCGTCGTCCAGCATCACATACCACTTCTTCTTCGGCATGGTGCGCCAGATATATTCAAGACTGGGAAGAAACTAAACCACATGTTAGCAAATATAAGATAGAATATAGCTGAGATGTCTCCAACCTTCATCGCATCGAGTTCCCATCCCATATCCTTGCCTATTGTATCGGCCAACATCCATTCTTCGCCATCAACAGCTTCGGCAAGGGTGATATATTTCAGCACGCGCTGTTGCTGTTCTTGTCCGCCTAGAGCACCTCGTTCTAAGTTCCACCCAATGATGTCGATGACTGGCACTTCTTTCCCATTATCCAACGTGTAATTTTTCTGATTCGGGAACAACGGAAAATCCTGGACGACGATAGTATCTGCATTTAGGGACTCGCTACTCAATGCTTTCAGCGCCGCTGGTACCCGTCCCCTCGTTCCAAACCCAGTCTTGATTACTATGCCGATATCATTAACGGGGTCGATAGGATACGGTTGCGGCTTGTACAACCAGGAATCGCTCGGGAGGGTATTTTGGTAGTAATCTTGCATAACATTATGTTGGAATCGGAAGAAGGATCTTGGCGGGCTATCGTATGGTGTTAAATTATAGAGAATCAATAGGAATGCTAAGAGACCCAGGCCGATTTTATGGGAGCGAGACAAGCGTGTGAAGCAAGCACGGATCGATCTTCGTTCAACGATTCCCATCATGAGGGCCGCTGTTGTTGGTTATTGCTGTTGATTACGTCTGTGCGACCGAAACCAGCAGCCAAACGAATGTTGGCTAATGAAATTGGCAACATGCGTATAAGAAGAACGAGCGTACGAAACGATTGTGGGTTAGGATATTGGTTCTCGCAGACAAGTTCGATATCAAATGGAAAGAAGTTGGCGAAGTTAAAAGAAAAGGGGGGTTACAGGTCTCTAATATTGACTCCCCAATACGAGATACAAAAAGAAAAAAAAATTGAGATGTGAGAGCTTTTTTTTTTAGAAAGTTTCAAGATGCAGGCGTCCAGAGGTAAAAGAAGTACTGAGCCTCTCAGTATGCGGGTATGCGGGGGGTTAGGAGGTTTAGTGACGTCCCGGTTAAGCGAATTCTAGGCTTGCTTTCATCCAGATGGGAAATGATGAACGCTATTGCGGGAACGGAGTGCTAAAAGTTGGCCAACCAAGCGATAATCAATGCAGTCGTGTCCCACTAAAGAACATGAAAAAAACCTGGCGTCGTATGCACAACAGCCGAGGACCCATCGCAGGTGCCATAAGTACCTAACCTATGAAATGTCCTGCCCAACTTGCTAAGGGAAGATTACGCGTTCCCAAAAGGCTTGTCAGGGGTACAAATTGAATGCAACGAGGTACTTGACCCTGTCAGTATATTTTATGTAAGTAGCAAACTATTATGCATTTAGCGGTTATTTGCGCTAGTCATGATCTTACATCCTCTCTCTACGAAGTAACTACTTCTATCTTGTTGATTATAAAAAACAGCCTAACGTCGGAAAATATTAATTACAATATTGGTTTAATTGTTTAAATCACCTTCAAGCATTCTCTGTTTGTCTTTATTACAGGAGATGCAAATGCTTTAGTGCTACAATCTACGTAAGTCTTCAATTGCGAACCTACCATTAAGTATAGTGTATTATTGATTTGGATCTTTAGTAGGGCCATTTGTAAGACTTCTGTCTTCCAATCTTTTTAAAGCTTTCGCTTATTAAGGTATTCACGTAGGTAAATAAGACACTATTACAGAATCCTATCCAGCATACGTCTATTATATATGGCTCTAATTGGTGAGGCGATTCCATAGTGTTTAATAATTGTATAGACTCTTGATTGAAGTCTAGGCTAACAACAACAATAATTGGGTGCCTAGGTGGATTCTTCGACTAGGGTGTAGAATCGTTTATTTTCAAAGGCCATTATCAGATTGGTGGCACTAATTATGGGCTAGGTATTACTTGAGTCTAGGGCTTACCTATTAATAATCAACTTCAACTCAATGTCACCTTATGAGCCCAGAGACTTATAAACCTCTAGGTCTATCTCTTCAACTATCTCTTTCAACTTACCGCATGTTAAGTCGAAGACGACATGTTGCAATTTCCGGGGCCTTCGGGCCCTCACATCACATCGCTCATAATCAAGAGTGTCGGATACTTCGCACTAGCTAGCCTCCTATTCTTCCTTTTCCGTTTGTATCAAGTCCGGATGATGTTCCGACGAGTTCAGAAGCAGCATGGTATTGTGAGTAACTCATTTATAACATGTTCAGACACAAGAGGGTTCCAAAGCTGCCATCAACTCCCCCCAGAGTCAGAACGTCACATATAAATTATATCTCTAACAAATCACCCACACTTTCCTACAATCGGTACTGACGATCCATAGCCGATGATGCCCCATTCGTTTCTCTTCGGCCACCTTGTGACGCTTGCCAAGATCACTATAAAACGGTTAATTAAACACAACATTTTATTGCATAAGACTACGGCAACTAAGACCTGATAGGAAAATCCCACGAGACGGTCATGGCCATTGGATGTTTCGATATGTCAAACTAGAATATCCCGAGATCGCAGGTCAGGGTCTCGTTTACATGGACGTGTGGCCGATTGGTTACCCGATAATCGCTGTCTACAATCCCAACATGATGGCACAATTCATCCAAGAGAACAGTCTCCCTAAATACTGGGCTATGCCACAAGTCGAATTCAAGTATTTCACCGGAGGCGAAGACCTAGTGAATCTGGACGGCCCGGAATGGAAGAAAGCTCGAAGCATGTTTAATCCTGGCTTCTCGGCTAAGAATCTCTTGTCTCTTGTCCCTGATATGATGGAAGAAGTATTAGTCTTCCGGGAACGGCTAAGGAAAGCTGCCGCTTCCGCGGAAGTTATTAAGCTGACGAATTATACGACGGACCTGACTGTCGACATAGTCGGACGCGCTGTGTTGTAAGTTTAAGCAACATGGTTCTATTTTCCAACACCAAATACTAAGTACAAAAATAGGGGCACGCGTCTGCAAACACAGGTTGGACCAAATCGCTTGATGCAATTGATAAAATCTCAGTTGAAGTTGATCTATTTTGAGCTTGACCTTCCCAAGCAGCTGAACCCTCTTCTTCCTCTGAAAAACTGGGTATACAATCGCATGATCAAGAAGGAACTGGCCCCGTATATTCTCAACGCCGCCCAGAACTACGAGAAAATTGTGGGGCCTAAGACTATTGTGACTCTCGCCTTGAAAGAGTACGTCAACGAGGTACAAAATCATAATGCAAGAGGAAACATCCCGTCCGAGTTCGTCGAACGGGTCGTTAAACACATCAAGATCTTCATGTTCGCCGGGCACGACACCACTGCTACAGTTCTTGCGTACATATACTACATGCTTAGCAAACATCCGACTGAAGCCGCCAAGCTACGTGCCGAACACGACGAAGTGCTAGGTCCCGACCCAACCGCTGCTGCTGGTTTGATTAGAGCAGATCCTAACTTGCTGAATAAGTTGCCGTTCACTATGGCTGTTCTCAAAGAAACCCTCCGTCTCTTCCCTCCCGTGGGCGGCAGCATCCGTCAATCGCCGCCGGGACACTTCCTCACACATCCCGAAACCGGGGTCCGCTACCCCACACACGGGTTCATGTTACATTCCTCCGCGTCGACGGTGTTGCGCGACGCAGACTACTGGCCCGACCCGGACGACTTTGTTCCGGACCGGTTCATGACGCGCGACGAGAGCGATCCCTGGCACCCGGTCAAGAACGCATGGCGACCATTCGAAATGGGGCCCCGAAATTGCATCGGCCAGGAATTGGTTTTCACGGAGGTGCGACTGATCCTCGCGCTGACGGTACGCGAGTTCGACGTCGAGGAAGCATATCCGGCGGATGCACCGTCGTGGATGGGCTTAAAGGGCTACCAAGTTGCTAACACAGAAGCTATTTCTACAGCTCACCCCAAGAGCGGCCTTCCTGTGAAGGTCAAGGCTAGGAAATAGGGAGATTAAACCAGTACATACTTTGTGACATAGAATGGGCTAGAGTAGCCATATAATCCTGTGGTGTTGTTCATATATGTAAGGTATACATACCTAAAGAGATTGGTCATATGATGGCATTTACAAATCACTTCAGATACTACTACTATCGTCATAAATAGAATTCAAGAACTGAGATACGACCCCTATTACAAACTTCGACGTAGTGACGAAGAATATCTAAGTATGGGAGGCATCTGTAAATGAATGTAGGTACTCTTCAATCGCTGCTCACAAACACTAGATTTCTATTGTCTGAATATATCCCCCATGTACATACACATCAAGGCCATAGACCAAAGGCGGCACATACAGCATTTTATATTACACCAACAACAACAACACATTATTTAACACCTCCAGTATCCCATACTGTCCGTGCTCAGCTCCATACCTCCACTGCCACTCCTTACCAGCCCCTTCCTGCCGGCAATACGCAACGAAACAAATCGTCTCGGGCCCCGCACCACACTCCAACTCAACACTAGTCCCCACACCCCTCCAAACGAAGCTGCTCAGCGACATCGCCATCAAGCCCAAACACGCGACTCCCAACCTCGTCCTCCTCCAGCCCTTCCCAGAACCGCACCTGCCGCGCCCCCACGTGGCACTGCGGCCACCCTGACCCCCCAGGCTATCCACCTCGCCCATGAGCACGTCAAAACCAGCCGGGAACCTGAGCCCGGGATCCATCTTTCGCAGCTCGGCCTCTATACCGCGTTTGTATCCCTTGCGCAGTCTCTCGAAAACCCCTCCATTATTTTGCTAGTTGCGTTAATGTCCTTTGTTTCCCATTTGTCAGGTAGTGCCCGTGCTGGATACCATATACAGAGAGAGAGAGGGCTAGTATGCAGCATATTGTAAATGATCGAGTAACGCCTGGCCTGCTCACCTCCTTCGAGGGAGACAGCTGTCCTTTATATAGACGGTAGACCCATGTAGTATCCACATATCTTAGGTACCTCATACATATCCCTGACATCCTTGCTCTCAGCAAAACTCGAACAGCACCTCGATCCAAACTATGTTGCCGGTCTCCTAACCCCCAGTTTAAAACTTGATAGACAAATGGTAGTCGAACCAGTACTGACAGGGACACCGGTTCTTCCTGGTCTCGGATAAAGAGCCAAGGAAGGGTTCTTGTTATTTGTGTATAGTTGGGGCACTTATAATGCTTCCATTGATTTACTTCGTTATACTATGAAGCGGATAATATGTTCTTAGGCACATCTTTCAAACTTACAAGTAACCTACTTGATGGCCGTACGATGGTTGTTATTTGGATTGTGATATAGCTAGACTGTAATCGCGATTATAAGCTTTCATTGGTACAAGATATATAAACCCTCGGGTTTATGTTGCCAGTTTCTGGCGTGTCTGGCCATTTACATTACATGCTGAGAGGACAGATCGGAAATAAGACGCCGATGGCTACGAATTGATATCAAATCTCCTCAACCTTGCCCTCTGCCAGTTCGAGTCATCCCGTAACTCTTAAAGTACCAGGTGGCCGTTTCGTTATAGTTTTCCATTCTACCTCCCTTAACGATTTTTTATCATATTTCCTCCATTCATTATACTATCATCGTTTGACAGATCTCCTTCCTCGGTAGTGTTCACACCAAGCTCGCCGCTAGCGGACACAGAGCTAGCCGTGGCTTCTGTTTCGGTTTCTTCTTCGGCTTTGCCTTTAGCCTTGGCCCTGGCCCTAGCCTTAGCTCTAGCCTTTGACTTGGCCTTTTTCTTGGCTCTCGAATTGGATTGATCCATATTACGTTCAAGTCGTCCCCCCTACTTCTTCTCAGTCGAGTTCATGATGTTTATTACCTCGTCAATTACGGGATGCAGGTCCTCGCCAACCTCTGTTTTTATTTCCGAGAGTCGGCGCTTCCAAAAGCACCATCGCTCGAGACTATAGTGATTCGCGCCGGAATATAACGGCCCGCTAAGGTATAAACGACTCTTTTCTGGCCCTTCCGAGTGGTCTGAGTGAGTATGGAGTAGAGAGTCGATGAAGAGACGAAGGGGACTCCGTAAAATCCACTCAATCGCAACTCGTACTCTAGTGTTTGGTGTCGGCAAGTCGCCACCGGGGGATAGAGGTGATTCCAGACCATCTCGAAGTTCCCAGACCGGATATGGCCCCCATCCCTCTTTATGACTGGCATCGAGCCTCGCCACAAACGAGTTCAAGTTTAGCCATTGTGATTCAGTAAACTCGTCTGCGGGTTTGTCATCCTCGCCATGGTCAGTAGTTGGTGCTACCAGAAAGGTTAGAAACACATTTCAATAGAAGAGATAGCACAAAGGTACTTACAGCGGTTCCAGCATTCCCTCACCGCCATAGTAAAGCCAGGGAGGTCCTTCCATACTTTATTATCCGGCTGGACTAAGTTAATTGGTGGTCATAAATAGAAATCTAAGTTAGCCATACCTTATTACTCCTTCCTATGGTTTCCAGGATGAGCACACTGTAGACAAGAACATCTTGCTGGGGACTGCAGGGCGGAACTTCGCTCGCTATGTTGAGAAGGCCATCCCAGAATGACCACACAAAATCATCCGGGCCTAACCCTAACTTGTTGGAAGATGGAAGCTTGACTAATCTATCAACGAAATTCTCAGCTTTATCTCTCAGGCTGGTCGGAGGCGGCGATCCCGGCTCGAACTCTAGAAGTTCCAGAATATAAGAGCAAGTCTCTCCCACGAATTGGCGCCCGTGTTTGAGGTGTTGAAAATCTACTTCATATGTTCCCGCCAAATCGGTGGAGATTCTGATGAAGAGAAATTTAGAGGTACAGAAAATAAATGAGGAGTTGTTCTTGATGAGAGAAGTTTTGGGAAATGGGTGGTCCTTTTGTAGTGATTTATATGACAGTGTTAGCTTGGTCAATGTAGAAGATGGAGAGTGGGGCAAGATCTTTATTGTGGGGTGCATGCAAGGATGTAACTCAAAGAATTAGGTAGAGCTGAGAAATTTGGGTAGGTGCGTTACGTTAGGTACTTAGGTACATACAATTAAATAGAAAGGGTCCACTCCTTGTGCATGCGTACCTGCATCAGGTCACTAAGATAGTAGGTACCTTTAAAGATATCGAACTTGGGGAAACTACACTTGAGTCACAATAATTTAGGAAAGTGGGATATTGTTCAGTTATTTGTTATTTGTTATTTGTACCTTCTAACTTGTTTGAGATAAGATCAATAGCTTTAGGTAAGTATCTCTTATTATTGGGTCGTTAGATTTTGTATATGCAAACAAGTGCAGTAGCACCTCAAGTACCATATCGAAATGCTCCTTCCTTTTACTAAGGTTGCTACGGCGAGAGCAGGTACCTATGTATCTACGCCTGAGGAAGAATTAGATCAATTGAGAATATGCTATATAGGTACCTAACATACCTACCTAGGAGGTTCTTAATTATATTTTTTATCCTCTCCCGTAGCATCCTTTCCGCATGAAGCTCACTTCAGACCATTGCTTTCTTCTTAAGTTACGTTCCGACCTAGGTATGTTACATCTCCCATCAATCATCAATTACTATTATGGTGTTACTACTATGGTATAAGAATCCACACCAGCGGGTAAAAGTGGAACAGATCTGCCTTTGCGATGATCCCTGTCCAGGCCAATGTAGGCTAATGCAGGCTGTTTCTATTTTTAGCTTAGGATCTTGCGCTAGCCATGGATGGTGGTAGCAAGAACAACGGGAAGGGCAAGCAGAAGAAGAGACCGCCCCCCCATCAATACCGCCATTGCGGCCAAGGTCAAGAACGAAGATGGACCTGTTACAGGGGAGTCGGTGGTAAGTTAATAATCACTTGCAATTCCAACTTAAAATATCCCTAACACCCAGTTTCAGTATTCATGTACCGAATTGGATAGTGACGACCCAAACCACTATTTGATCGCAACTGAAGTACGCCGCCAGGCTCAGGAAGCACCGGAGGAGCAAGCAGATGATCCGACATCTCGGACCAGGAAAACAAAGTATCCCCAGACATTCAAGAATAAAGAGGAACTTCAGGGCCTACAAAGTAAAGAAAAAGGGAAGGAATACCCCGTAGTTCCTGGAAGAGGTCAGAACTGGGACCAGATGTCCAAGGGAAGATCCGGACCAGGACGGGTCATTTTCAATCCTGATCCTGAGACCCGCAACCAGTTTGACATGCTGTACCACTCTAGCAAGACGCCCGGGAAAAACTGCCAAGACTTCAAGTTCGCAAACTACAAGTCATTCAAACCTTCAAGCAAGAGGAAGGAAGATGCAAGCCAGGCTTTCCCAAGTAAGCAGGATTCAAATAATCAACGCTCAAGCGAGACAATGTCAAGCAAGAAAAAATCCAGCAAAAATTCGAGCAAGGATGATTCCAGCTTAGAAAATTCCAGTTCGGAAGACTCAAGCTCGGATGATTCAAGCGACGAAGATGCAAAGTCTTCGGATTAAAAGGCCTCAAAGGCCTCTTCTTTGGTAATTCCATCTATTTTCCAACATTCATCATTTGTATTGAATTTTCAGCTAACAAAATCTTCCTAGCAGAACAGCTGAAAGCCCCGACGTTGGTTTCGTCGTTGGCATTAGCATTCTCCACGTAGAAGAGGATCTGCATAGCTTGCCCGAGACAAGCAGTCTTTTGGCATTCTGGCGAATACCCATTTTTTTTTGGTTCGCAAGCAGAATACGCGATAACTGACCCTACATGAAGCACATGTGGAGGTGAATCTGGCATTGAGAAAACTAAGTGTTTTACGAAGGTGGTGGCCTACTAGTTAATTATATTGGTTCGGAAGATATCTCAGAGGCTTATATGAGGTACATATATGCTTCCTCGGATAACCTTTCGTGCCATAGGCACGTTCTAGAGGAGGCCTAGCAGAGAAATTGACACCCGACGTGAAATACACTAGCAGTTGCGCAGCCTGGTCCTTATTTAAATGTGATTTTTATCAGGTTATGCCCGGTGATGGATGTCGTATACAACGTGAGTGTCAGGGGCTAGTATTCAGTCTACTATAGAGATTTAGTAACGCATAGCTTTCTAACCTGCCTCGAAGGAATTGGCTACTCTTTATATAGACGATAGACCCCTCTAGTATCCACATATCCCTCATACCTGTCAATAACTATCCGATGGCTGTTGCCGATCAGTTAGGCCTTTTAAAATGGCTACGAAGATACACTGACTCAAAGCCAAAGACGGTTAATAGTAGTTAAAGATAGTTTGTATATATATTAGTTATAAGATGCTATCCATCGGAATACAATTATTCCATAGGGCTGCACCATAAGTTCGCCTAACCAGCTACCTCTACCGCCAAATTCGGCAAAGAGGTTAGCAATCGGATATGATAGGTTCGCCTTCGAGCTAGTTGAGCAGCCTAGTCCCCAGACTTAAACTACCCTACCTAATGTAGCTAAACGAGTGCCGATCTTGATATCACGAAAAGACACAAACAACTCTACGAAATATTTATCTGCAAGCTTGAGCATTCGTTAGCTAGGGCGTAGGGCCATAGCGTTATTTTGCATACCGCTGGTCTTACCGCTCGTCCTATCGCTCAATGCAATCCATGTCACTTGAGGGGAGTTGGGCTTGGGGTTAAGAGGACTTAATTCAACTACCCTGGGGAACTAGGTATAGGTACGGTATATTCCCGTTTCTAGTATCCCGTCTAGAGCGGTTCGATTCTATCCATGATCGCGAGTATATTCGTGGGTTCGAGATCACGGATATAAAATCTAGCGAAGATCTTCTCCAACTTCGTTTCTTTTCTCACCACCACCACCACTACGACTAGCCAATCTCTCACATCCGTTCCATTCGTTTATATCGGATCAACCAGCCACTCGCTCTACACGAGACAACAACAGTCTCAACCGCTCACTCACTCACTCACTCATTAAGACTTTTAAAGTACCTAATCTTAATTTTTAATTCCGACGACGACAACAACAACAACCCCCCGTCAAAATGAGGTTCACCAGCGTCATCTCCATCGTCGCCGCCCTCTGCGGCCTCGCGGCAGCTGCCCCCACGTCGATAACCCGGCCCGATGGCGTCTGCCCCTACGGCGGCAACTGGGACTACTGCGACTGGGACGGCCTGTACGTCGTCTGCGTCAACGGCAACCCGACCAGGTACACCTGCGACGGCCGCGGCTGCCAGCCCCTCTGCCCTGGCGACCAGCCTTGCACTCCCCGATGCAACAACGGCCGTCTGGCCTAGAGCCCATTAATCATGCGGGTGAAGGCGTAGGAGTAGGGGAAGAAGGAAGAGGAGGGTGAGGAGCTAGAGAAGGGAGAAGCGAGGATAGGGGTCGACAGGGGGTGTAAGAGTTATCTCCGAGTTTAATTCTGTCGAACTGTCTTTGGACATGGATATGCAAACATTCCTCCCCATGATTTACAAGTCCTCAGAATTTCCCCCGGTGCATCATCGTGTTGAGTGGTTGAACCATTCTTTCTTCGTCTGTATATGTGTGATGAGCACAGACAAGATGGGAACATCATCCCAGGAATGTTGTATTGTCACCCGGCCGAGTTTTACCTCGTTCACCGGACCTAACTCTTAATTTCCCCTTCTTGTTCGTTTAACTACCAAGCCATTGATACTAGTACTTTCTGCATTGTTGGTTACTTTTTGCTATTTTTTCAATTCTACTTTTCGTCGAACACATCTGTTCTTTCTCTTCGTCGACGATGCCGTATTTAACGGAAATTAATCCATCAAGTTTCCGGCGGTAATGCGACGTGCAATAACACACCCGATATAGGGGGAAATTGCAGACCTAGGGTATCTTCATACATCAACATGAAGCAAGGGGGAAAGTTTCCCGTATCCTAACCTCACTCTTGTAGACATCAAAAGGCCGATACTCAAGGCACGTTGAGGCTTTAGCTTTTTGATGTCTGTCATTGGCTAGGTGCTTCTATGTGTTTTGAGCCAGGCAGTCCAGTCCGGGTCCGCCTCGCTTATACCCCATTTGTCGATCAGCATGAGTATAACACGGGCGATGGTCCAATCGTCAAGCCGCAACATTTCCGCGTCGACGCCTTCCCAAACTTTCAGCTGAGACATCAATATTTCGGCTCGACGGGCGGCGCACTCGCACGTCGCCGGCCGATGTACAGTAGCCTCATACACGGGCAGTCCCGCGGGGTCAAACTTCGCCATGCAACCCCAGGGGAGGAATTCGCTTCTTCGGAGATTCTTTCTATACGTCATTTTGCTGACTCTTCTGTCGGTCTCCGAAGCGAAAACGGTAGATAAAGTATCCGGGTAGATGAAGATGAGGACGAGATGGGTCACGTCTACTGTAGGCGTGTATGGTTATGTGAAGTGCTTACTTAGGAAGACTTGTAAAGCTTGCGGTTTTCTTGTTAGGTGATTAATCAGTCAACGCCTGTAAGCTTGTCGATATGACGGCAGAAACTTCTGCGGGAGCGGATGCATGGTGCCCTTATATAGTAAATAGCGAGACCAAGGGAATAATGCAGTTGTCGCGCAACGCGTAGGCTGTTCATATAAGCAACAAAGATGTACGCGGACAATGTGTGTATTTCCTAACATATTCTTTCTGCCTTACAATTTAAGAGTTCTTGATCATTTCAAGAATTAACTCAACAATAGTGTCGCCTAACAAGTCCTTATTAGACATGCCTCCTAGCCATCGTCTCCTAAACTACTCCTTCCTATAATCTCCTTATTCTCGAATAGCGACTATATAAAGCCGAACAAGCCCTAATGTGGCCTTTGGACGCAACCTGAGGCCCCTAACTAAACTCAGCGTTGCCTCACATATAGATGACAGAAGGAAAAAATAAATATAATATCCCTACCTCACCAAAACTACCTAGATGTACCGAAGCGTAAAAACATATTTTCCCATTCTCAGAAAATTGAGTTCGAAAAAGTAAAGGAATATCTCCTATAAAGTATTTCCTGAATTCTGGCATAACTAGCTTCAAAAAGATAGTGGAATAGAAAAAAAAAAAGTGGAAAAAAGGAATGGACGAGCAGGGAGTCGAACCCTGGACTTCTCGCATGCAAAGCGAGCACTCTACCACTGAGTTACACGCCCTCTTGTGGTTAATTGTTAAATTCTGGCGTTAGTCTGGCTTATATAGCTAATGCCAAGTCTACCTAATGATGTCACCCGGTGAATAACACATTGCTCAAACAAAGAAGCATTCACAGGCAACGTCGTAGTTCGTTAAATTCTCCTTTGTTCGCTTATAATTAGTAACAAATATGTTACCTACCTAGGTACTTAGCATCGCAAATTGACTCTATTTTTGGCCCTTCGGCGCCCTCTAGAGTCTATGCTGCTTCTATCAACGAATTGAAGATAGTGGGGTCGGGTGGGGACTGGGGGATTTGGCTCGGCCTATCAGACCTCTAGCAATTTGTTAGTAGCGCCCTCTTACTGGCCATCCTGTGCAGGTGGGGACATCGGGGGACCGTAGCAGCGTTAGCAGAAGGAAGGCCGGGTACAGGTACCTAACCTACTTCTTCTGCCGGACCGTATCCGGGGTTCCATATCTAATTCTCCATTTCTACCTAAATTCTTCACGCTGTCGACTCGAACATCCTAAGGTTAGATCTACTTAACTTTAGGTAGTATTCCCATACTACCCACATATCTACCTAGGTACCTATATATAACTCGCCATGGCTCCGCACAATGTCCAAGACGACGCGCCGTCAGAATTCAACAATAGCCCCCCGGCGAACGGAATCCGGCCGCCCACCCCGCCGCCTATGTCCGCGAGCCCGCCGCGCATCCTGATTATCGGAGCCGGGTCGCGGGGTCATACTTACAGCCGGTGCATCGCGGAATCCAGCAACGGCGTCGTAATATCCGTCTGCGAACCACACGCGTACAAGCGTCAGGAGTTCGTGCGCATGTATATCCGGCGCGACGGCAAGGAGCCCCCCGAGGGTTCGAGCTTCCACGGCTGGCGCGATTTCGTTCAATGGGAGATACGCCGGCGCGAGCGCGAAGCCGCGGGCGAGGAAGGTGTGCCCGAGGGCGTGGACGCCGCCTTCGTGTGCGTGCGCGACGAGATGCACCACGACGTCGTGCTCGCTCTCGCCCCGCTCGGCCTGCATATCATGTGCGAGAAGCCGCTCGCGGGGACCCTGGACCAGTGCATCGCTATGTACAACGCCCTAGCCCCCTCGCGCTCTCGCACAGTGTTCTCCGTCGGCCACGTGTTGCGGTACTCGCCGCACAACATGCTGCTCCGCAAGCTGCTGCTCGAGGATAGAGCGATCGGTGACATCCTGAGCGTCGTGCACACGGAGCCCGTCGGATACTGGCACTTCGCGCACTCGTACGTGCGCGGGAACTGGCGCAAGGAATCGACCACCGCGCCCTCCCTGCTCGCCAAGAGCTGCCACGACATGGACATCCTGCTGTGGCTCCTGTGCTCGCCGGCGCGTCCCGGCTCCGACGAGGAGTCGGAGCCCCCGCACATCCCCGCCGAAGTGTCGTCGATGGGGTCCCTGCAGTTCTTCCGCAAGAGCCGGAAACCCAAGGCCGCGGGCGACGCGACCAACTGCCTGCGGTGCCCCGCGGAGCCCGGGTGCCTCTACTCGAGCCGGCGCATCTACGAGGGCCCGCGGCACGCGGGGCTCGAGACGGGCAACCGCGGCTGGCCCGTCAGCATCGTGCTCCCGGACATCGAGAGCTTCGGCGGCGACGTCGAGCGCGCGCGGCCCGCGCTGCTGGCGCGCCTGGCCGAGGACTACGACGCGGGCACGCCGCAGGCGGAAGTCGACGCCAAGAACTGGTTCGGGAGGTGCGTGTTCGAGAGCGACAACGACGTGTGCGACGAGCAGGTCGTCACGATAAGATGGGACGACGACCCCCTGCCCTCGACAAGCGGTTCCGCCGCCGCCACAGATTCGGTAGGCAGCCGCGGGGCCAAGCAAGCGACGTTCCACATGGTCGCGCAGACAAAGCGGCAGTGCGAGCGGTTCACGAGCATCTACGGGACGCTGGGGGAAGTCAGCGCGGACTCGTACACGATCGCGGTGGAGGACTACGCGACGGGCGGGACGCGGAGGTACACGCCGAAGCTGGAGAGCGGGGGCCACGGCGGCGGCGACCACGGCATCGCCCGGCAGTTCGTGCTGGCGGTCGACCGCGTCAAGAACCACGGGTGGGAGGCCCCGCGCGCCCAGGCCGAGTTCATCGGCTGCAGCTTGGAGGAGATCGTGCGCAGCCACGCGATCGTGTTCGCGGCCGAGGACGCGCGCAAGGGGCGCAGACACGTGGATTTTAGGGAGTGGTGTGAGGAGAAGGGTATTGCTGCTATAGCAGCGTCTTAGTTAGGCACATGCTTTTTGCTCAACTTTGAAATTCTTTTCAGTTACCTGGCTTTTTAGCGGCACTTCGCTGGTATATGAGGTACCTACCTGTTAAGCATGGGGCTGAGCTCTTGATTATTTCTGGCGTTCGTTATTTAGTATCATGTTGGGGTCCATTGAATTGGGAATGAATATTTTATGGTATGATGGGATGAGCCTTCAAGTTTGTTGAATTATCGAAATTATGCACCCTTTACGTATGATGAATACAACGAACAGCACGCTTTTATTTGCTACCTATTTCATGTACCTAGTATAATAATGACCTGCTATAATACATCTTCGTCCTTGTCTCCTCGGACAAATTGAAGTGTGATGCCTTAACCTCAAATACATCAAATATGATTAGATCCCATTTACAACAAGACGAGTACTCCCGCTGAATCAGTAAAACCCCCGAGTCAAGACTTCATTGCGAAGTTGGAGTATTCGGCATTTCTACTAAACGACTTCGTAGTAGCGACTCCAGGTAATCCTTCAAGCTCTTCTCTCTTCGGCGTCGTACCATTGCTTCCTGGACTGTATCACCAGCTTCGCGGTGCCAGGATTCTAGCAACTGCATATTCTCAAATATTTGCGTATCACCAAAGCCACGTCCAGCTTCGGCGGCATCGATAGCCCTTTCTAAAGCGTATCGCGCCAGTGCGTGCCGCGGGTGATCTTTTACAGCAGAGCTATCTGTACCACACCGGCTTCTATGATATTGAGCAATGACACGCCAGGATACCCAACTCGTCCAATCGTACCGATCTGATATGTCAAGCCGAAGTGCAACACCGGCTAGTTTAACCGAACGCGCATCGAGGGGTCCTTTCTGCCAGACATACGCCGTCGGCTCGAGAAGCAACATGAGATCCGGTGAGTGTGACCTACCGTGAGAATCGAATATGGTCGATGACGAAGCTACTACTCTTTGGAGTGATGGAAGATTAGTCCTTTTCGAGTTGAATAGAATTAGGTCCCCTAGTAGGAACAAACTGATGGCTGGTACGACAGTTTGAGAGAAGTCATTCGTCTCGAGCAACATGTCCAATATGCTCTCCATGCAGCTAAAGATGAAATCCACACCAGTTTCCAGCGAATCATTACGAAAGACATCGTATATCGCAGTAAATAGTCGGTAGAAGGTACTCGATGTCCCCAATACAGCTTCTGCATATCCTGCTAGATATCTCCATAATTCCTTGGCAAGCCCATAATCGGGAGATATTACACTGGCTATTAGCAAGTCGAATAGTCCAAGTGCAGAGGGTGTCTTGATAAGCAAGTGTAACGAGCTGAAGGCGCGCTGGCTAAGCACAGCACCAAGGGGGTTATGGTTCCTCGAGAAGAACCAGCAAGCCCTACTGAAGTCCCTAGTAGCCTCGCATAGTTCGCCGTCGAAGTAAAGGTTGAAGTCTTTCTCAAAGGATACAGGCGATTCTAACGAGTCACTCCAGCTTAAAGTCAGATCCTTAAAACATGAAACAAGGATTTCTTGGGCATGGAGATGAGATGGTAAAGTCATATGCTGAGGTTCAACGGGTGGAGGTGTGAGTGCCCGCAGGTATTCGGGTAAGTCAACATCAACATCAACATCAGCGGCGGGTGTAACCAGTTCAAGGCTTGAGATTCCCTTTCGCTTCATGTATGTTTCAATGTCAACCGACCTTCCGTGGCGACGAAAAGTAGTAGGCTTGCCCACAGCCCCGCGCTCACGTTGCAATCGCAGCATCATGGCCACGTCCCTCTTCTTATTGTTCTTAACAAACCCCCATTGTGCAAACTTAGCCTATGCACGGTTAACTTCGCTTTCCACGGTATATCCGGTGAGTTCTTTCTCATTACCTTGTACATCCGGGGACTATAAAAATATTAGCATTAGGTAGGACTCTTGCGGTTCGCGAAATACTTGTACTCACGTAGCTTTAAACCCCTTAGCTTGCATTATATCCATCAATTCATTTAATGGTTTGTTTTCTTCGATATAAAGTTCATGTATCTCTTCCTTGTATAGTTCCCATATCTCCGGTTGAAGTTGGTGGCGTGTTGGAGTTTTACTGTGTTGTACCGGTTCCACCGGGCGAACAGCGAGTGCCAAAGGATTTGGGGAATAAATTTCATCTTGGCTTGCATATTCTTCCTCGTGTTTAGTTGTAGCCGAGCTTCTATATGGTAATGAGGAGCCTGGTGTGTAGCGGCTAGCAATTGTATTTGGTCGATCTACCCCTGTAATGTTCGGCTCCGAAGGAGTTAGAGAAAACCCGATCGTTCCGTCGTACTGAGCTAAGCTAGCACTGGAGTCTGGGCTCTCGATCTTCACGTTATAACCTGGAGAGGAATCATCGATAGAAACTCCATCGTGATCGGCGCCCTCCACAGTTTGGCGCGGTTCATCTTGGTTCGCCGTGCGTTTCACATCCGGCCCCGCAGATTGGTGTTGAATAGCTGGCCTCATGTGATACATCAACGCGGGAGATACTTGGACAATCGACAAGCACTTGGTAAGGAAGCTACATATCCCGCGCCACGTTTCGGGCTTAAGCTGACCCAGTGTATTTTAAAGAAGGGACGGTCAGTTATGCTGGCAGAAGCTCAAGAGGAGGAATATCAAGCCAATAAATGAGAGAAAGTTGATGCTGTCTCCGTGGGGGTTAAAACGGGAGCCCAGATGGCCGAGCGAGGCAAACGCTTGGCAAAAAAGCACGTTAACTGAGCCCGCTCTAGCGTTGTCGTAACTTGTAAGATATCCTAGCAGTCTATGATTAGTTATACAGTAAGTATAGTTAGATAGAAATAGTATGAAGAAGATAAGGACCAGGTACTTGGTCGGAATCCGGTTGTATCGTGTTGTCCGAGTGATTATCCTAAGTTAGGCAAGGCTAGTTGCTGCAAGGGATAGCGCAACAAGGACAAACGGGCTGAAAGGGGGGTCTGAAAGAAGCCAAAATTGATCCGAGCGCTGCCCTGTCGGTACTCGTGCTACACGTGTATTTCTCCAATATAAAGCTAGCGAGCGACGGGTTATGGAGACTGACTGGGGGCCAAGATGCGATGGCAGGATACTATGTAAATAGTGCTCACCGCTCACCCACGTGCTTTTCGACTCCGACAGAGTTATTGCGATACTATAATAGTTCAGCTGAAACGTCTAATCTGACCGATGTGACGCATCTTTTCGAAGCTGAACCGGTTCCCTTAATCCTGCGATGCGGATGGCGCACGATACGATATGCTTGTACGCACGACATTTTGATGTATCTTCAGCCGCATCCAAACTTAAGTGTCGATCTCTAGTTGAGCTCGTCGCCTTATGTAACCCTTATAGCTGTAAACGTCGAATGAAAGGGGATCCACGTTCCTGTTAAGGCAGGCAAATCCCACATGACGGCCTGGTTTAAGGGTGTACAGATATATACGTAGTAATAAGATGTTACATCATTCGTTGTAATTGTTGAAGTTGGGAGAATGAGGGCTTCATATTATAGGTATTAGAGGTAGGTAGGTTAGGTAGTTGCCTAACGGTTAGGTAAGTTGTATTAGTCGTTTTAACTGTTACTAATATATTAGGTACAGGTACCTAGATACCTAATTCCTTAAGCTAATAATAGGGTACCTGATAAGGCTGACTTGCCATGTGCCCTCTCCCCCTTTCCTCCTCCACCATCAGTAGGTACCTCATGTGGCATGCATCATACATATGGCATACCTGTAGTGTAATACGTACATGCAGGTTTTCCATAGCTTACTAGGTACCTACCTACATAGCGTATGATCAAAAAAAATGACACGGTAAATATCAAATATTACAAGCTCCGTTTATTAATATTATATCAACTACCTAGACACCTAGGTAGGTAGGTATATCTCGTCATTGTTCGTCCACAACTTCTATAAGGGCTCATCGGACGTTGGAATCAACCTTGCAGAAAGATCCGGATCCTCAAATTCGCTTATGTCCCAACCGTTCTAGATCTTGATCAACGCCGCCAGGGGTAAGACCAAGCATCCAATCCTCAGCCATGTCGTATAGCTCCGGCTCTAGATACCCGATCTTGGCGATGACGATACCTGCGGAGCGGGGGCCGAGGTCTGATTCCGTAAAATCGTTCTCGTGGTGGTAGGGTGTACGCAGTTTAGTAAGGATCGTGAAGATGCTTCCGAGTTGCTGCACGACCTCAATCTCCGCGTGGCTATCGCCATGCTTTATCGAATGCACCCGTCCCGTCATAGTAATGAGTCCAGCATGAAGGTCGTCTACTTCAGCCCCAGCTGTTACCGTCACAGTCGTTGCAATACCTGCTTCGTCTGCTTTTTGGACTGCGTGAGACCCCGGCACGCTGGCATAGATAACTTTTGGGTCTGATTCAGACTTGACTTCCGGACGCGCGAGTAATTGCGTCAAGCCCCCTGAGATGAAATATGGTCGTTTATCCGATGCTAGCGCAGTGTCGATGTGGCAAGGTCTTGTAATGAGGGCTTGGAACAGAGTATTCAAATTCAATAATAATTCTCTAAAAGCCTCTAGGTCCTTTGTCTCTCCTCCTTCTTCGAGGTGGAAGACTCGAGGCTATTTGTAAACAATCTGAAGCACGTATCTTTCCACCTGAACACTTGCCCATTTTTGATGTTGGCGCCGCTTCCTGAGACATACGTGTCATCGAGATACATCGTAATCAATAGCTTCATCTTAATGCTCCAACACTTCTTGGCAACGTGGCTGTGTGACGGTCGAAACACTCTTTAAACGAGCCCGTAGGTGCTACGAAGGTAATATCCTTATGTGAATCCCAGAATAGACGCGCTAGCCGATGACCTCGCGGCACCGTTTTAGTGCCTCGTACTCTACATCGTCGAGCCCCTCGACGCACATCGCGCCGTGTACATCGAACCAGAATCCATCGAGTTTCACTTCTGCCACTGCCTGTCTCTGCAAGGCGGCGATAGCGACGACTGGTAGACGAGCCATGATTATATCCTAACTATATGATGATAGTTCACCAAAGGCTCGGAGCCACTAAACCCACCACACCAAGAGGTCTTGGTGGGTGGACGTTGGTGGATAACTAATCATGCCAGGGTATATAAATCTAGATGAGGCTATCTCCACCCATACAAACCACGTATTTAATCCTCGCCTTGGTGTTGTATTCCTCCCCATTATAAAAATAGTTAGCTAAAATAATGAAAAGTAAGGCTATTTACACTTATGTCATATATATTCTCTTCTCCCATATTGTTTAGTTATGCTGTAGCCCGATCTTGTGGTGGGTTAATTGAATTTGAGGTTATATTGTAGGTTTAATAGGCAATATGATAAAAATGTCTGTGGAAGGATCAGGAGTGCCTGCATACACATATAAATTGTATGGAGATGGAAGTACCTTCGCGCGGTGTACAGAAGTTTTTTTTGCTACAAAGTAGAGCTTTAAAGTATTGTGGACACTAGCGCCTCGAGGTTAGTAGTATATGTCACGGTCAGGAGTCACTCAGATATTTAGCTCCGCTAGATATCATCGCGACTCCTTCCCTAACTCACACTTAATCCACCCAATAAAGGCTAATAGGGGGGAGGGGGGTATCGTAAAAAGTTGTTATGGACTTATATAGTAGATTTAATATTAAGTAAATCTTTATACAAATGTAGTTACTACTTGCAAAAACATATACAACCAGCTTTCCAGTCTCGTCAAGCCTCGCACAAATTCAACTTTCTACATACGCAAGACTACCCCTTGCAGTAGCATTTCTTGAATACATTGTTGCTGAATTAATAGTGCTAATCGAATTCAGTTTATTCATATAAGGGCACATGTAAGGCGTGTCGCCCAGGAGACAGAAACTCCATATATTTAACTCAGCCCTCTTATTCAGTACCGAGCTCATACAAAATAAGCCCGAATATTGATATATTGAAGTGAGATCTCATTCATTCAGCATCCGCAGAGATACCTAGGTAATTTGATGTAAAATTATCTGCATGCCTGTTACGACTTACAATCCATACGCTACGCTCCATCGTCTGTATATATGAGTATACTTGAGATATCCCCAGAGTGATGCTCCGTACTGCCTTTCCCTTGGTCTAGGAGCTCTCAAGAGTATTAGGATTATTGCTCTGCATGCTAAATGTCTGACAAGCCTATGAGTGCATACGCCATAGAAACAACTTCAAACGCTGCTTCGGTTGGGACCATCTTCGCAGATGTCTTCCGGAGAATTTATATAGAGGCTCCAATGTAACATCCTGGCCTATACCAAGACTACCTGTCCAATTAGCCAAACTTCCAGGGTTGAAGCTCGAAGCAACTAGGTTACTAGGTTAGTTTGCGCAGTTATTCGAACTGGGATCACTTAACGCGTCCGACTCATCTTACCAACATTATTGATATAATATACCTATGTACACATAAACTCTAACAGCACAGAAAAGATATGATAAGTGAACTTATCGTCGTTTCTCGCCTACGACTATCCTTTCCATATATAACCTCACAAACATACTTCGAGTAGCCTTGTGGGAGTTACCCGCGTAAAACTGAAACTAAAACTAATATAATTTGGTTTTGGGCATAACGAGTACCTGAGGCAAAGAGGCGTGTGCAAAAAGTCCTGCGCGTAGTAACGGAGTTTAATCAATCGGTATGAACGGGCTTCAGTCTAATAGATTTCAAAGGCGAGGCGTATATCTCAGGGGTCAGCTGGTATTGTGTACATTAGGTAGGTAGGTACCTAAGGTAACCGTTTGAACATAACTCGAAAAAAGACTCCTTATAAAGCATGCTTCTTCTATCGGATTTTGGATAGGATCTGGCTTGAAAAACCAGCAGCATTTACTAAGCCATATTACGCGTCTGTAACTAGTGACCGACGGTTATGCAGAACTGTTACATTGAAACAATAAAGTAAAATGAGCTGAAGACAGCCTCGAATTTGGTGTGGCTCAAGGCATTCTTCGAGAGCTGTATCTCGACTAACTGCGGCCCGGTAACAGTAGGATTCAGGTCATAGTAAGCTCCATGGCCCAGCTTTCTATCGGTCGAGTGGAAATTGTTACGTTTTTGGAGGCTTTCAGCTCATGCTTTCTCCCAAAGTTGTGCTCCCCCGGAACTTCGAAGACGTCAATATGCAGTCTTTATAGCAGCACCGGTGCAACCTAGCTACCTAAGTTTAGGACAGTTGGTTACCTTAGGTAGGATTATGTTAATCTTAAAACGCATCGGCTGAAGGATGATCTGCGATCTACGAGCAAGCCGGCGGCACATCTCAGGAACACCCGCGGGCATATCGTAACACCATTCAGTTACTCATTTAAACTTCATGCCTATTTTGGAGACCTCATTACCACAGTTTCGACAGCTTATCTTGCATTCAACTGACAGCAGCGCAAAGTGGGGGCATTGGGTTGTGGTGCATATTCCTACTAGGACAAGGCAAGGAGAGAAATGATTGTTTCTTGACGAAAAAGCTTGATTTGAAGTCATGATATCTTCATGGGGTGTACTAAGGTCATCCTATATTATTCAACCTCAGATCTGAAAGGCACCGCAAGAATACCAGGAGAACCCTTAATTAAAAGAGCTGCAGAGATGTGGAAACCTTGGATATAACGTTCTAATCTAATCAAACCCCTATTGTGTCTGTTATTACACTGTACGCTCATCTACGTTCATCTATACCACTTAAAAGGTAGGTAAGGTTAGGTACTTAGGTACCTACCTAGGTAGTTAGACGCCGTCCTGGGCCCATGTAAAGTACCTACCTGTAATGCGAATATGGCGTGGCGAGACATGGAATTTGATTAGCAACGCTCACGAGCAAATAGTTATGTGACTTCTTACGTTAGGTGCACGTAGGGTTCAGAGTATATCATCTGCCATGAAAACGGGATGCAGAACTCTCTCGGATGCCTTCAAGAGTAGCATCATATGTCATGACTTCAATTTCATTCAGTACATACGCTCCATGCCATTCCTCCCGCTCAGGTACAGTATGTATGAGGTATGTATGTATGTATGTATGTATGTATGTACATATATCATATTTCATATCTCAGATAGCGACCACGAACCACCGATCACTATCTTGCAAAGCCTCAATAACGACCATATTCACGACCCGCTCCCGCCCCATCTCCCTCTCCCTATTTGAACACTTCCTCAGCTTACGTGCTTAGGTACCTAACCTTAGGTACCTAGGGAAACATCCATCTCCCGATATAGCCCTCTAACAGCCCCCCTAGCAATTCTTTATATATATATTCAAACCTCATTGCTAGGATACTCCACCTCGGTACTAGGCAAGAACTCCTCCTTGATGCTCCGCAAGCTCACGAACCTGCTGATGATGTTGATGCTCCCCGCCTTGTCGTTCGTCCCGCTCGCCCTCGCGCCGCCGAACGGCTGCTGCCCTACCACCGCCCCCGTGCTCTTGCAGTTGACGTAGAAGTTGCCCGCGGCGTTGCGCAGCGCGTCCTCCGCCGCGCGGATCGCGTGCCTGTCCGACGCGAACACCGACCCCGTCAGCCCGTACTCGCTCGTCCGGTCCACGAGCTCGCACGCCTCCGCGAACGCCTTCTCCGGGTCGCCCGTCGTGTCGTCGTACACGTACGTCGTGAGCACCGGCCCGAACAGCTCCGTCGACAGCAGCTTGTGCGCCGGGTTGGTCGTCCGGTAGACGGTCGGGTGGATGAAGTACCCTTTCGAGCCGTCGTACTTGCCTCCCGCGAGGAGTTCCAGCTCGGGGTCGTTCTTCGCGGCGTCGATGACGCCGCTGAGCTTCTTGAAGCTAGGCTCGTGGATGACGGGTCCGATGAAGGTCTCGGGGTCCCAGGGGTTGCCGACCTTGAGGGCGTTGGTCTCCTTGACCAGCTTCTCCTTGAACTCGGGCCAGATGGACTTGGCGACGTACAGGCGGCTCGTGGCGCTGCACTTCTGGCCCGAGTACTCGAAGGCGCCGCGGACGGTATGCACGACAGCGTTTTGGACGTCGGCCGACCGGTGCACGAGGTGGAAGTTCTTGCCGCCCGTCTCGCCCACGATGCGCGGGTACCCCAGGTACCGGGACTCGGCGATGCCCTGGCCGATCTGGCCGTACAGCTTGCGGAACACGGCGGTACTGCCGGTGTAGTGCAGCGCGGCAAACTGCTTATGCGCGAGGACTGCCTTGGTCACTTCCTCGGGGTTTCCGGGTACGAACTGGATCACGTTCTCGGGGAGACCCGCCTCGAGAAGGATCTTGTGGAGAAGATAGCCCGCTGCAACCGCGGAGTCGGAAGGCTTCCAGACCACCACGTTGCCCAGAAGCGCGGGAGTCGCAGCTAGATTGCCGCCGATAGCAGTGAAGTTGAAGGGGCTGACGGCGTAGACGAAGCCTTCTAGCGGACGGTATTCGGTACGGTTCCACAGACCAGGCGAGTTGTGGGCGGGCTGCTGTGCGTACAATTCCTCGGCATACTGAACATTGAAGCGCAAGAAGTCGCATAGCTCCGCTGCGGCGTCGATCTCGGCCTGCCAAGCGTTCTTGCCCTGGCCGAGAATGGTAGTGGCCATGATCTCGTATCGGTACTTAGTGGATATGAGATCAGCTGCCTTGAGGAAAACGGCAGCCCTGTCGGCGAAGGGGAGCGATTCCCATGCCGGCTTGGCGGCTAGAGCTGCCTCGATGGCTTTGTTGACGTCGGAGGGACTGGCTACGGAATATTTCGCTATCGGAGCAGTGTGGTCGGCAGGATTATGCTGTGTAAGCTTTTGTGATGTTTTGACCTGTACAGGAGATTAATCTACAGAGCAAACGTGCGAATTGGTGTTTGTCTTATACATACCTCTTTGCCCCCTATTACAAGAGGAATGTCTATCGTGCCCTTCTTCCGTTGAGTCTCAATTGTAGCAAGGAGTCCTGCTCTTTGTGCGGAGCCCTTTGCGTATACATGCTATGTCTCCTGTTAGTTATTCGCTCGACAATTCCTGAGACCGGCAAGTATGTATGTAGACTAAACGTACGTTAGGCTCATTTGCGATCTTTGGTATCTTGAAAGTAGCCAACGAAGTCGTCCTAGCGCTTGTCGTACTCAAGGCCCTTAGATTCTTCGGGGATCGAAGAGTTGGTAGACATCTGGAACAAACCCTCGACGATAGAGCCGAGCTCTGCATTGCCCTTGCAAGGCCATAGCCTCTTGGTGCAGATGCCATTGGTGTTGGCTATATGAAGAGAAAGAAAACAAATATCGCCGGTGTCGATTGTGGTCTAGGAAATCGATGGATGGCGAAGTATGTACGTTGGAGCTGCAGCAGCAAGAGGGGGGTATCTTACAATGTTACTATAGTTTAGGTAAACAATTTCTATCAGTCAATTTGGCGAGCAACCTAGCTACTTATCAAATACCAAAATTCAACTCGCAAAGTCTCATCGGCGCTTCAACTCCGATGGTTATGATGTATGGGCTCGCTTTGCAACGGCATAAAACGAACGACTTTGCGGGGCAAAGAAAGCGCGAGATCCCAATTGAAAGGAACCGCCAATGGGAAACTTCATATTTCCTCCCGATAAGCCGAATTCGGCATGAGCTTCTTGAGCCGCTTTACTATTCCTAGTTGGCTCTTAGTTGGCCGTTGGACTTATACCGGCGGCTGTCCGAATAGACCATTTTAGTCTTGGCAATTCCTAATAGATTTTACTCTTGATCCGCCAACTGTGGAGTAATCTCGATAACGAGTATATGATCTTTGCTTGGGGTTTCCTGGATCAATAGAATAACGAATGATGCGAAAGCGCCGGTTTGCATACCATACATTAGATATATATAACAAACTGTTAACAACGTTATCAGCAGTGGCGTGTATAAAAGCACAAGATTATCAAAGGGAAATCGAAAAACTGTTGCAATATAGTAGTCATTTCCCTGGGGTATTTATTCGTCCTTCGATCACTGAATCTAAATGTGCTCTTGTATTCCTAATCCGTTTTCCAAACATATTCAGACACGGGGTATAAATAATTACATAACGTATGCGCCCCTATCTCGGCTGTGGCTGGTGTCTGCGTGTTCCATGTAAGACAACCGGTGAGCATCGACTGAGAAGTCTACCTCGCATAGTGGACCAATCCTGCCCTATTTGAGCCCACATCAGTGAGCAGCTTCAGGCGCCGAGACGGGCAACGAGGGAGCCGTACTTGGAGCGAAAGAGCTCGCGGCGCCGGCCGTGTCTGGTCTGCTTCGGTGATGGCGAAGATGATGAGAGTGCGCGTTGATACTGAATTTTCCAGCTTCGTAGTTCAGAGCCGGGATCGTTAGACCATACGGCTCTGTCTTACCCTCCTTATCGTGCTGATCGATCTCTACTCGAATGCAGACGTCGAGACCACCGTCGTTATCTTTGCCGTGCGTCTCGAAATTCGCTGCCTTGTGCTTGGTGCCCGCGCCAAGCTCGCCTTTGGACAGGAATGAGTGTCCATCCTTGCCATCGAACTGATTTTCTGATGGGTTGGCATCCTCCGGCCCTGCGTGGCCATTAGCAGCCGTACCCCTGTTGTTTGGCGAATTCTCCGTGAGCATAGCGAAATTTCGGCTAGGCATCGTAACGTTGTTTGACGAGCGCGTCTTGTTGGAATTCCCTGGGTCCTTATCAAAGAGGGCCATGAGCGTCTCATCCGTGTTCGCATCAAGGTGGTGAATTTTGTTACGGCTTGCTAGGAGGTTAGCAATAGCTGTTGGTGGAGGTTTGTTGACTATCGCGGAAGATATCACGTTGATTATATATCGGTGGTCTTCCTCCACGGGAATGTGCAAATTTGGGTTTGAGTAGAACCGTCCGAGAGCTGCTAAATGGACATCGCCTCCAAGAATAGTGAGACGGACCGAGAAGTCTGCGCAGACAGTCTGAAGTCGCTTTATCAGATTGTTTCGCTCTTTCTTGTGGGTTCTGGCGGTATAATGATCGTCTAAATCATCTAAAAGATCTACGCTTCCGTCGAAGTGATTAAATACGCCACCGCCTATAATGTCCATGAGTAACTTAGATCGCTACACAAACCAGGGCGTTACTTACCGAATCCAAATCTTCGGTTCAAAAATTTAACGGGCGCAATAAGGGGACTGGTGAACACATTCTCCAGCCAAGTAAGTCGCTAAAAATATGTTAGCCAAGTGCTATACTTCAAGGAATACAAAAGCCTTACCGGGTACGCAATCGGAATGCCTAACAATAGAATCAGGTGCCTAAAAGGTCTACCAGCTGCTGCTGCGGCTCCTAGTTCATCCCTCACTCGACCAAAAATGAGGTCGTACGTCTCAGGATAGTTAACCTGGTGTCGTGTGCGCTCAGTACGAGCATCAATGCCCATGAACGCAATTCTGGCACCTAGCTTGGCAAACATGTTCATCGAGTGTTGGGCGACATATGGTCCAGGTTTGCTACCAATAATATAGGACGAGTCGAAAGATTGTTCTCTCACAAACGTATCCACTAGTTGCGCCGGATCGTGCTGATCTGATCCGTGCTCCGTAGTTGCGGGTACATCCGATGTGTATGTCGAAATAGGTGGCGGTAAATGGTGCTGGAAAAGCATATAATATTTATGGGCTGTGCCACCAATGCCTCGGAATACATCGCACTTCATGAATTCATTGACATAGGACCCGAAGCCGTCAATAATATCATGGTCATCCCAAATGTTTAGCTGCGGTATTTGCCCGTTTGCGGTGGCGAACGGTTCCGTTGAATACCACCGTATATAATTATTCAAGTAGTAATCATCGCAAGCTGCTCGCAGACTTTCTGGAAAGGGAAAATCACGGCGCTTCTTGGGGTTGCCTATATCGGTCCATTCACGAAGTGGTCCGCTTACACGGATACCGTCATTATAAATTTGGTCGCCTCCTCCTATCATTACGTGGAAAGGAGTTTTGGCATGGCATCTTAGAACATCATTCCATAAAGCCGGGCCACTCCAGGCGTCTTCGTCCGTGCCCACACTGAAGCCATTGCACGAATGGAACATAATTCGCATCGACTCGTCGATAGCTGGAATGAAGAAATAGTTCGTCTTCTGTTGTGTAGCGCTTTTATAACGAACGTCGGCAATCGAATACGCCCATTTCGTCTCGATATTATCCATGTCGCAAACAAGAGGAAATTGCCAAAACGTGTTTCTAGGATCCGAATAGAGACAGATACCTGCGACATTAGTACCATTGGCGCCGGTAGAAATATCGACGCGGTTGAAAGTTAAGGTAGGCTGAAACCTCTGGATCTTGCCACCACCCTTGATGACAAGCAAAACACTTCCGTGCCATGTTCTGTTTTCCATACGGCGGTAATTCAGTAGAGGGCCACATACTACCTCTCTCCCGTCGTCAACAATTCCTCCGTCATGCGCGCCATCACTATTACTGACAATAATCGGCTTGTAATTCCCAGCCCCTGAGCCATCACCCTCGACGCGCGCCGAGTTCAGGAAGTTTGTGAGGTCTTGCGTGTCTGCGCTAGACGAATGGGCGTCTCGCGCAATCGCAGCGCGAGCAAAAGATGACGACTCTTGGTGCCTCCATCTATTGGCCGAGGCATAGGGATTACGCGGATCCTCTTCGATATGGTCGATGTTCTCGGGCGCGGCCATGATGTGTTATAATACGCCAAACAAACAGTTTCGTGAAACTGAACTGAACTTATAATTATGTCGTTTTTACTCTACTGATGTAGGCTCGGATATCGGGGTTTCCAGTCGGTATGGCTAACGTTTGCTGACGAGAAGATATCAGTGTTTCGATGCAAGGCGCAAGGAAACGGTGGAACGCGACAGGTCGATTTATTTAGACGAGGTCTACAGAAGGTCGTACGTCCGGACTCGTCTAGAAAATATGTGGACAGATTCAAATTTCGGTTGGATGCAGAGAGCACCAAAGACAGCGCTGATAAGGATTCACGCAAGTTCGACAGATCAGGGTATCACCTAATAAACTGACACGACAGGGGACTCAGGGAGACGTATGTATGCCAAGAAACCTGAGTTTACTCGAACGGGAGTCGAACCAGAAGAGAAAGAAAAAGAAAAAGGAATAATAGCAATTCAATTCTGCCGATATACGGTAATTTATAAATACATTCAGAGTTCAGCTCCCTCTGAGGAGAGAAACCAAGCAAAAAAAAAAAAAAAAAAAGAATGAATTGGACAAAATGAAAAGGAAAAATAAGAGGACATGCGGAAATTTGTTAGGTGAAATTGTGAGACAGGCGGTGCCGATTCCGAACAATGAAAATCATAACAAGAAAAAAAATAAAAAATCTCACGATCAGCAGCTTCCGTTGTCAGCAGCGATGATCCTTCCCAACTAGTAAACTACCTGAACTAGCTATAGAGCTAGGCTGGCAACAGTATGCAGGGTCGCGGTGCTCCATTGGAAGTAAAGGTGGGGCTAATGCGGGAATGATGCGAATGTGTTAGGGACTTGGTCTTTAGGTACCTAGCCGGCCTAGTAGGGCTCTACCTAGAGGCTAGGTAAAGTCAATCCCAATTTAGCGCATGGGGCCAAACTCAATATTTAGGTACACCCGACGTTCGCTGCTGGTTTACAATGCATCTTAAGATCCCTACTATCTAAGGTCCTTCAAATAAGGTTGTTTTGTTATTTTATATTTAGCAAAACATCATCTAGATAAATCCACCGATGAAAGATGTAAGTGCGTATTTTGAAGTTTTGAAGCCAATTACGGATTAGGTAGTATGCATTTATTTTTATTAGTCGTCCTACATACTACCTAGGTATGTAAGGTACGTATACTACGTACAAGGTACCTATTTCGATGTCGTCCTATGGGACACGGCCTAACATGTACCGTAGAAAATGCGCTACGTGGGATATTGCAGACCGCTAAAATAGCGTGTCAATAACAATGGATAATCGGCAAACTTCAATGGAGGCCTCTTCGTACGACGGAGCCTCGTCTGTTTTTGAATCTTGCTTTCCCCTTGACTATGCAGATCTTTGTAGCCTGTGTTTCACCTGCGAGTCTGTTGCTAATATATTATGATGGGCACGTATCTAAATTCAACATATGTCCTCCTATGAAGGATAACAAATAAAACGATGCGATACAAATATATAAAAGAATAGGAGGTACTTAGGTATCTATGATCTTACACATTTTCACTTCGAAGTTATTCGTTTGGACACATGCAATCCGCTGCACATAAGTTATTCTCCTAATTGGAATTACTACCCTAAGGAATGACGTACCTACGTCTCCCGTGTGGGTGGGACGGGATACTAGTAGTATGTACTCCATAAGGGGTTATATTGGAGTTTAGATCTTATGTACCTAAGTAGGTAGGTTCTACTAACTATCCCAATATTATACAAGCTTTACATGGCCGTCATCCTTCAACAACAAGGCCTGCAAGTACCTATATACAGCCCGAGAGAATAGAGATCGAGTATGAGGTAGGTACCTACCTAAAGGTAGATAGCCCAATACTTGCGGTTAACAACTTAGCGCCCCGCCGCTGTTTGGGGCGCCTTCTCAGATTCCTTTCCCTTTACTTTAACAGCCCCCTCTAATGCGCCCATAGTCTTCAACCTTTCGGCCCTAATCCTTGCTTTCTGGTCCATGTGCCTCTTGATAAGCTCCGCCCCGGCTATGCCCGCTACCATACCTCCCAAGTGCGATGGTATGTCGGTGTTATGGCCTTTCCTCGAGAATAGGGGCAGTACGTGCAGGCCCAATATTAGGCCAATAAATGCTAAGCCCTGCGGACCGGACATTGGGTCAGGGGGGAAGCCGAATAGTTTGAACTCGTCGTACTTGTGTAACCAGAAGAACGCGGCTATAATTCCGTAAACCGATCCAGAGGACCCAAGCGTCGTGTACGAAAGGCCGTTTGTGAGAACCAAACGTGTCAGGCTAAACATGAACCCTAAAGCTCCCGAAAAAAAGTATATGGCGAGAAGGTTGGCTCTTCCAACCTCATCGTGAAGCCGAGTACCGAAGAACCAAAGCCCTACCATGTTTAGGAACACGTGGCTGAAATTCTGCTGAGAAAACATCGCTCCGATCAGCTGGAAGGGTCGTGGCGTCGCCGGAACTACTAGGAAGTATCGGTTCAGGAGCCTCCAGGCGGGTGGGAACTTCCATGCCATCCATATTGTTAGGTTAATTCCGATCAGAGCAAGACAGGTTGCCGCCGCGGGAGGAATGTCCGGCCACATCCTTTCAGCTCGCTTAGGAGGCGTATATACAAGAGCATACAGGATACATCCTGCGAAAATCAAGACCGTCATGATAGCTTGGGGAAGTAGACGTTCCCAAGCCTTCATTTCGGGAGGCGCTTTGAGGTCGGATGTCGCCCGTTCTGTAAATTTCCTCATCATCGGGCTCAGTTCTTTCGGCTTATTTTGCTCAATCTGAAGAGTACCGCTGTTACTTAGGGCCTCCTCTTCCTCACGCTTCTTCCGCTCCTCCTCTAACCTCTTCTCTTCTGCTTCGCGCTTCGCAATGTTATGGGCGCGGATTCGGTCGAGCGGACTTACTCCGTATGGCGAGTTGGTTTCACGTATTTTAGGAAGTCGTCCGGTCGGAATTGGGGTTTCATGGGTCGCGGTGTCGGGAGGAAGGTCTTGAGAGCTAATTTCTTCAGGTTGCTGTTCACCATTCTCGTTTGCTTGTTCCAAAAGTCTGAGCTCGTCTTCGGCTCGCAGGCCAGCATTGATAACCTCATCCACGGGAATATTGGCACGCAGATATCCCAAAGCTTTTCTTTGATCCATAGCGCTAAACTGGGCAGTGTTCACTCGGAGGTTCGGGTCGTTTAGAGTCCCTGCTACTCGGCGACCATGCAGAATTCGTAGAAGCTTGTTTGCGAGGGGGGCCGGGAGGTGAGCTCCACCAAATATTTGGTTGACTTCTCTCTGGTTGAGATCTTCTTTTCGGAACGGTAAGCCCTGGCTATCTTCATAGTCATCGGGTAGTTTCGTGTAATGGGTGATCGCGCGGAACCTAGATAGCATTCGAACGGATATTCGAGGTAAAAGATCATTCGAGCGGCATTTTGTGGGCATTCGGGGAGGGCGAATGGCCCCTTGGGTGCTATATCGGCAGCATGATGCTATAGGAGGATGTTTTGTCGAAAACGAACGAGCCGCACAAGAAATCAGCGAGTTCCCGGAGTTGCCAGTGATCGCTCGCAAGCCAAGCCGAAAACTTGACGGGGGAGATAGTGAGGGAAGAATAGGCATGGTACAGTAATCATACCATCATGTCTCTATATCTTACTTTTCGAATCTTGAAATCTTGTAAGATCGATAAGACTTAAAAAAAAAGGTAAGAGAGGGGCGAGTTCTTGGATTAGTAGAGCATGTTGCCGGATAGGTTTAAGAGTTTAACACTTTTATCGCATCCGATTTTCGTCAATGGACCCATTTCACTTTTGCACCTGCGGCATGGATTTCAGGTATACAGGTACCTATTGTATCACATTAATATGATTGGCTCAAGGGAGCCCCGCGCTACCTACATTAGGTACCTGTAACTTCAACTCAATTCAGTGGGACTCTCTCTCAGATGCCTATTAAAAACAGGTATCTACCTACACCTACACCGGCAGACCAGCCGAACCGACTTCCTATCGCTTTTCCAAATTCATTTCATCACAGCTCTCCAATATCTATCTCTTGCTCTTCAAAAGCCACAACAGGAAACGCATCAAAATTCCTGATTAAATCGTAATAGAACCTAACAAGTTCCAGATGCGCATACATATCCACCCCTTCGTCAACCGTATGGCCATTCACGTTATGCCCCTGACGAGTTGGCGTCCACCGATAAATGTGACGGCTCAAGTCTTGAGAATCGAATATTAGCAGCTATCACGATAATATCAGTCTAGATAAGTCTGAAGGTTCACTTACTCAAATAGTGGCGAGTGTCCGTATTGCCAGTCATAAGTTCACCCACGGGAATTACCTTACCCCCTTCGAAAGCAAAGCTATGCTGAATGGTTCCCGAGAAAACATCCCAGACCGGCCCTGATGTCGGCGATATCGGAGTGACCAGAGTAGGTTGAGACGAAGTGAGAACGAGCGTTCCGTTGTATTCGACCTCATACATCGGGTCCACATCTAGTTCAATATCCGGATTATGTTCCTCTCCTTTGAAGGCGCTGACTTTTAGCCCAAATTTCTTCACGATCGGCTTGATCTTTTCCAAGATATTGGCCTTCACCGCTTGTATGGAGTCCTGAGGCGCGATGCGGTGGTTGACACCAATTTTAATATACTCGGGCATGGCATTGATTTTTACTCCTCCGAGGAAATAGTCGACAGCTTGAGAAGTCTGTATGCGATACTGAGTTGCTCGATCAATCGTCGCCAGTTCTTTGGTTAATGTTTCCAAGTCTCCTTTGTTAATAAGCTTAGTGATATTCGGTGCCGCGCCTGGGGAGTATTTCGCCTGGCACACGAAGTGGTTATAGATAGGCGAACCTTCGATGAGTTTGGGCTTCCACGGATTAGATTCTAGATGGTTGATGAACTCGGCCATTATACCGATACCAGTGTGCGGAAACGGTATCGATGAGTGACCCCCATTTACGTAAAGTTCTAACCAGATATCCACATGGCCTTTCTCCATGACAGCAGGAAGAGCATCTGTGATATATTATCAGCAGGGGATCACGAGGAAATATATTGAAATCATACTCACATAAGGTATTATTACCAAGCAACTGCAATCCCATCCCTCCTTCGTCGAGGATCAGATCTATGGAGTCGGGGCCATACCTCTTTTCCAAGAAAGGTCCAATATGACCAGCTCCTCTGCGACCTGAGGATTCCTCGTCGAATCCAAGTGCAAGGATTATAGTTCGTCTAGGTACCCAGCGAGGGTTCGACAGCAGAGCTTCTAGAGCGGAGAAGAGGCCAGTCAAACTATTCTTATCGTCTGATGCGCCTCGTCCCCATAGCCATTGTCCATCAAAATGGGCGGAAAATGGAGGATATTTCCAAGTTGAAGCATCGGCAACGGGCACCACGTCTTGGTGTGCAGCTAACAGGAGCGGTTTAAGGGTAGGTTCTGTCCCCTGAATTGTAAATACCAAACCGAATGTATTCACCGTCTCGCGAGTCGCCCGTAGGTGACTATGAATTGCCGTTAGCTCGGAGGAGTAACCTTGATAGAATATATAGTGCGTCCAGTGGTATTGGCTATATCATCAATTTTTTACTTACATATTGGGATATAAAGCAGCCAAAGCCCTGTGTAAATCATAGAACACCTCCCATCTGGTGTCTTCTCCGGGCTCCCCATTATCGTCATAAGAGATGGTGGGTATCTTTACTACGGTACTGTGCCTCTTGACCTGAAGTAGCAATGCCTCATGATCGGAGAAGATATCACGAGCAGCCGGCAGTCCATCTTTGGAAGGGTCTAGCACTGGAGGAATATCACACTTGAAAGCAATTGGGGACACATCACCGAGTATCTGTTGAGACTCATCCAGGTGAATGGAACGAGCCAGAGTAAACCTCGTCAAGGGGCCGGCTATGAGAGCCAATTTAGACACGATCATGGCAATGTCCAAGAAATACTAATAATCATACAAATGGGATTGACGTCTAGAAAAAAAGATAATTATATAGGTACATACAATGACCAAAATTCCTAAGAACCAGAAAGGGAACCAGAAAGGGACATAGCTGGTAAATATAAAGGCTTTCATCCGCACCTCACCGAGTTCTGGTAACTACCATACCTAGGTAGGTACCCTAATTCCCGAATGTAATGAGAGGAACTCCATCTTGTGGAGAGCATCAGCTCTGAATGGTCAATTCGAGAGGATACGATTGTTAGAAAGATAAGAAATTTGACGCTGTACGTAATAAGAGGTTGGGTATGATGCCGAAATACAGGACTCTTATCACATCATCCGAAGTGACATCGAGTTAGGATTAATTAGTACTTAGGTACCTAAGGTAATGCCCCGCATGCCCCGCGCTACCTAGGTACCTACCTGGTACCCATAATGCATGGGATGGATTGGGCCCAAGCTCCTTCCAAAGTTCCCTCACAAAGCTTCCAAATATCTTATCGATACCTAACACTTCGTCATATTTGGGGGTACTTCTGTACAGCTTCCCTCCGGGCAGTTTCAGTCTTGCGATAACTTTATTATTCTCTTACTTCCAAAACAACAAAAAAAAAAAAGCAAACCAGTTCCCATTTTCTACAATATGTCTTCCGAATCGCAACCCATAAATCCAGCTCGCTTCGCCGAAGCCCTGAAAGACTTATCCGCTGAGAATCTTGCTCTTAAAGTCTTAGAGCTGCGCAACTCGATAGCCCATCTAGACTATTCCAATGCCGAGCTTAAGCCATATGCCGAAGGGCGAGCGCCGACCCTAGATCAGCAGGGCGATACTGCACAACCCGATCAAGACTGTATCGACGCTATCGCGGAGAACGAGGCTGTCATTGCGCGCATGCAAGAGCGCATCGAGCTGATACGCACGGAGGTCGAGAGCCGCGGGCTCAGCTGGCGCGAGCTTCAAGGGAAGGCTGATGAGGAGGACGCCACTCCTGCCGCCGCCGCTAGTGCCAATGCAGCGACTACTAGTACCTTGACAAACGGAGTGAACGGCCATGGAGCAACCGGAGAGTCTCAACACCCTGCTTGGCGAGATGGAACCTTCCAAACAGGAACACTAAGCCAACTCAGCGATGAAGAACGAGAACTTCTACGGCAGCTCCAAAGTCGGATGCCGCCTGAAGATGACGAAGACCCCGAGGGTGGTATGCATTTATAAGTCAGATTCTCGATATATCCGACGTGCCTAGAAAGGACATATCCAAACCATACCATCATTAGTTTCATCAAAGCATCAATTATGTCGGAGGCTGTACAATAGGGAGGGAAATATGTGCATTCCTTTATATAAGGAATCAAATGTACCTCATACATTAGGAGTAAACTGGAAGTTCTCCATCATAATGAGACACACTAAACCCACGATATGGGATTACATCGGTGGCATAATCTATGGGCAATTAGCCACGCCGTTGCCTACCACACGGGACAAAACGATCTCTTAAAACGCTTTGCAGCAACTTAATATACGTGTGAATCACATTTGTCGCCAACGTCTTGCACGATTCCTCTCGAAATCTCTTCCGCCAATGTCGCCTAAGATTAACCGATTATATTAATTTCCTGAAATGTGTCTTGTCGAGAAGTGAGAGTTATCTGGCACTAAAGCACGAAGAAATTCCCAGAAAAAAAAGGAGAAACCCCCGGCCGACCCAGCTTCATATAGCTCCGACACCCTTCAGATTCTCAACATTTGATAATACAGGATGTCATCCTGTTTAAACTCTAGAGCTACACAATGATCACTCTTACGCCTTTACTGTCGGCCCTAGGCATAGATATGACTATACTATAATCGTATCGTATATCTTCCTCGGTAGTCTCATACAGGCGTATATGCGGAAAAACACGTAACGCCAATGCGGCAAGGCCGAGATTTAGCTCGCATAGCGCAAGACTACACATAACAATACCCTATTAGTAGTGCTACACCAAAGCGAATTTGAGGGTGAAATTTTCCACGTACTTCATGCCAAGACACATCCTGCTACCTCTTCCGAAAGAAAGGGTGTGCTGCTCAAGCTCCCTCCTCCGCTCTAAGTCTTCAACAAGCCACCGTTCAGGTACGAACGTATACGAGTCCGGGAATAAAGCCTCGTCGTGATGTATCAAGGCTGCTGACATGCCCATGGCATAGCCTCGGGGAACGATATACGAAAGGGGCACGCTTGTTTTGCTTCCCTCGGGTTTCCATTCCCCATGGTACACAAGATCTTCCCCGACCGCCACGCGGGCGCTGCGTTCGGGCACGCCGTACGATAATCGCAGGCCCTCCTGGATCACCGCGCTGAGATATGGCAGCTTCTCCAGCGTCGTCCATGGGGGTAAGCTCTGCGGATCGGGTACGGCTCCGCGCAGCTCGTCCGTCAGCTTCCTCAGTATCTTTGGTTGCGTCAGGAGGTAGTATGTAATGACGCTAAGGGCCCAGCTTGTGGTTCCGGTGCCACCACCCATCAAGGCGGAAGCTTGGCCTGTGAGCCGGGGAATGGTCTTTTCTTGCTCCGGGAGGGTTGAGTTAAGCAGCTCGGCGAAAATAGTTGGGCGCCCGCGCTTGTTACCTTCATCCACGTTGCGCTTGGCTTTCTTAACCATGTTGGGCAGCGTGACCTGGATCTGTCAATTTTGGTCGGCAAATCTTTTGTATTTTTACAACGTACATTAGTCGTCCGGAACCCCAAGGCAACGTCTTCGGGTAGGTAGTCTGAGAACCTGCATTTTGCCCATTGGTTAGCATACGGGTATGGTGCTCATACATCGCAACCTACCATGAACTGGCCGTTGAGATGCGGTTTAAGGAGGGAAAGTAGCGAAAGAGATGAACAGTATTCAGGATTGAGATCAGCGACTTGAGATAATTGGGCTCCCAGGATTCTTGATCGAGATATCCGAGACTCTCGCCGAAACAGTAGTCCGAAATAGCATCCGCGGTGTAACAACTATAAGCCACTACAACAACAAAAGTCAATAATCACTCCCTTCGATAAGGAACACAAGGGTCTAGGAATGCTTTAGATCAGTCACTGCTTCGTCGTATAAATGTGGAATACTGGTACTCTAGACCAACTACTAGAAAGGGGAGGGGAGGAATGGAGAAGAAGGAATTCTTTATGTTACGCACTCGAAATGTCGATGGGTTCGCCGGTACCCTTTTGTGCTAGCATTTTATCACAAAGTTGCTGGGCTAGTCGTTGGACCAGCGGTTCCAGCTGGGCTATCTGGGCCTTGGAGAAGAACTTTGCTACGGGGGCACGACGCGAGCGGTGTAAGTCGTGGTCGGCAGTAGCGAAAGAAGAGAACTCCATACTGCGGGTCTTAGTATGAATGAATTGGGGACTCCTAGCAAGCTAGGCAGGTATGCTAGGTTACTTACGCTGAACCGCTCACTTGATGCAGCGGCTTGTTACGCTTCCTCCCGCCTCCCGCGTAAATCTCGTTCATGAATCGGAAGTCGCTGCAGTGGACTTCGTCGGGGTTGATACGAACCATGGGGCCTTTTGGTTATGTTAGCTTTACGTACTCAAGAGTTTATTACCCATCTCCCGGGAAAAAACGTATAGGAGACAGGGCATAGGTATCAGTAGGTACCTACCATAGATTTCATGCATTTTTCTTATCTCGTGCGTGTATCGACCAAACTTTATAACGTCGTGATAGAACTCGGGGAGATATGTCGCGGCTGCTAGCTTCGGGCCAGGAACATGGCTGAGGGGGTGGAAAGGGGAGATATTCCACATGGCACGCATGAACTGGTACGCTAACCAGGTGGAAACGAGGGCGAGAACATAGTAGCCTGTCTTGACCTCGAACTCATGGTCACGGAACGGTAGGAGTGGAACAACAGTATCCGCGAGCGTCATGGTAGTGTAAGTTCGAGTAGGTATAACTAGTAATACTTGACTGGGTTGTTTGAATAATCGACAATTTGCATTCTGTTTAGAAGGAGTCCTTAACCAAGATGAAGATGGGCCTTTTTCGAGCGAATGCCCCTCTTTTATGATGTCTACCTATTACCTATTCGTATAAGACGCTGCTGCTAGGTATGAGGTATGTGTGTTATCTGCCGTATTATTACCACCACCATCACCACCACCATCACCGTCATGATCACCATTATCATCGCCACTATCACTATCAATTCCAACCCCAAAGCTTACAAGATGTCATCTATGCAGTTTCCAAGAAGCTGTGAAACCTAGACGGCTGGAAATGCACAGGTATGTGATGGGGGCTTTCAGCACGGTCGTATCCTTTTGGATACCCACCTCCTATCTACGGCCCCCCTTAGTGCCGGGTAATATCTACTCTGGACGTTTACTGGTTTGTCAACTCTCTCTCACAGCTTCTATCTGGACATAAGTAGTTACAGTAGGTTAAGCTCGAGAGATACGGAGGAGGAAAAGGAGAATGGAGAATGGAGACCGGTGGGTTGCCTTCGTCGAACAACTGCATTCTGTGTAACCCCGCGGTTCTAGGTTGATAGGTTGAGAGCTCTTCGTCAACTAGCTTTCTCGTGTAACCGCATTTCTTTTTCATATCATCGTAGGCAGGATGTGATTTGCGGATCTGAGGGTACCGTATAATAGATGAAGAAGTAGTGTTACTTAACCTACCTATATTAAGCATATATATAGGTATATCTTGGGTTGTGCTACTCAAATAAGTACGACGTGTAGATGAAATAAACATTTCTAGCAGCAGGATTGGTATTACTCCATGTTATACTACCTTAGGTTAGGTACCTATTCATACAAAATGGCAATTCGGAAAGATTGCTCATAATGGCCTGTCGAAGCATTTGGAACGCTTCTTTCTTTACCTTACCTTATAATGACTTCGAAACTGGGAATAGCCAGGAGTATATGTGGGTGGCTCTTTTTAACGAATTCTATTAAGACAATTTAGGTAGGTATAGGTAAACTAATGATATATCATTTATCTTCAAAAGTAATTTGTCATATACACGTTTGGAAATGCCCAGGCCGGCGCTAAGAAGGGGGGGTTATGTGATGTGCTGGTCTTGTATAATACTGTTGAATATAGCAGATGTTGACGGGATGTCATACATGCATTCTATTCCTATCGGAAGGTTTCATCGGATAAGAACTACTTGGTGGATACATACATCCGATGCAGATTTTCAAATCGATTCGATTCAGTGTAGTATTCAGCTGACGTTTTACTCCAAAACTTACATACGAAGTACGTAAAGAAAGAAGAAAAAAAGACAGGGCAGTTAGTAGGTAAATGCAGGAATAAACTGAATAATAGTAGTTGTTAACAAGATCTTATTAGCTTCGTCAAAAAAAATATCTGACTAATAAAAGCCGTATGAAATTTGTTGGTCTGACTTGCGTTAGTCATTAGTACAGCACTACTTTGTCGGTGCTACCTGAGTTAAGTTTTCAATATATAGCATCTTGTCCAATCCATACACCATCAAGTTGAAAGCTAGCGATGGAAAGATCTTGTAAAGCACCTTGGCGCAGTGGAAGCGCGCCGGGCTCATAACCCGGAGGTCCTCCGATCGAAACGGAGAGGTGCTATCTTTCCTGTGCTGTTTTTTTTTCTTCTCTCTTTCTCTCTATTGGTTTTCACACTTTTTTACCCAACGCATTGAAAAATTTATTCCCGTTCAATCTTTTTTTTGTTTTTTTTGTTTTTTTGTTTTTTTGTTTTTTTCATACGCACCCACTCACTCACTGTCTGCAACATTTATTTAGACCCGTTTATTGTACAATACAAATTTCACGCACGCATCTAATACGACACGAGTTAAGGATTTCAATAAGTGGCGTCATGTGGCTGTGCTAATGCAAAATTACGACGCGCAAGTAACATTAATAAAACTACTACCTAGGTACCTCAAGACGTATCTTATCATTCCTTCTAATCACTGTCTTGATCCTTGATCCTGATTCTGACAGGTTCTTCTCCTCGACACCGCTCTGAAATTGCCTTGGGCATATATACAAAAATATGTGCGGCATCCATGGCGTAGTCTCCACGGCTGCCATACCAAGCATTTCCCAAGAGCTGAAGAACCTCTTGTCGAATCGCGGACCTGACCATTTCGGCCAGGTCCATCGCGAACTCCCTTTCGAAAATGGAGATTCCGTAATTCGTCTCGGTCTTACCTCTACTGTGCTGGCCTTGCGGGGAGACCATGTTGCAAAGCAACCGTTGGAATCGCCCGTCACGGGGTCCGTGCTGTGCTGGAATGGAGAGGCTTGGAGGATTGACGGCCAGCCCGTCGGCAGTAAAAACGACGGCGAGCTCATCTCAGCTAAGCTTGATGCTGTCGATGATGCATCTTCGGCCGAGACCCGAGAGTCGCATATCTTAAGCGTTCTGCGTAGCATCGAAGGCCCATTTGCCTTTCTATTTTATGACGCTCAGGATAACCGCCTGTACTTCGGCCGCGATCGTCTTGGTCGACGATCGCTACTGTCAAGCCAAGCTGAGGATGGCCACTCGATCTCTTTCTCGAGTATCGCCGATGTGCCTACTACCGGCTGGAAAGAAGTCCATGCGGATGGCATTTATTCCTTAAACCTTGCTACACGTCTGGTTACGCCTAGTGGGTTGAAGCTTGATACTCACCTCACCCGATACGACTGGGTCACATCAGGGGGCGATAACATGGTAAGTTTTGGTTCAGAATCTGAAATTAGGTACACGTGCGATCTTTGCTATAAAATTTTCCATGACAGGTTTCAAGCATCGGCAGCTTCAACATGGCCCTGCCACCACCCGATCACAAGCTAGACTTCGACTCCTCCTCAGTCCATCTTCTCAAGCACTGGCTGTGCGAGTCCCTCAAGCTGCGGGTATTAGACATCCCGGAGCCCCCAAACTCGCTATCCGAAACCGACGTTCGCGTCGCGGTTCTTTTCTCCGGCGGCCTCGACAGTACTACCCTTGCGAGGCTCGCCCACGACTTGGTTCCTCTCGACCAGGGGATAGATCTGATTAATGTTGCCTTCGAAAACCCGCGCCAGGTCTCCGTCGACAAGACGCTGCCGCACCTGGATGCGAAGGACCAATACGAAGCGTGTCCCGATAGGAAGACGGGCCGCAAAGCGTTTGCTGAACTGAAAGCCGTCTGTCCCACGAGACAATGGCGCTTCATTGCGGTGCGTTTCCAGGGCTCTCACCTGGCCTAGGGTTGGTTAGATATCGAGCTGACCTACCCAAAATAGGTCAACGTTTCGTTCGAGGAAGCAATGAGCCACAAGGCGAGAGTAGTTTCTCTCATGTACCCCCACGACACCGAGATGGACTTGTCCATCGCCCTCGCGCTCTATTTCTCCGCGCGAGGCATCGGTTACGCCTACACGAACACGTGGGAATGGCAACCCGACCCGCCGAGCGTGACTTCGCCCGCCAGGGTCCTGCTATCGGGTCTTGGCGCGGACGAGCTCTTTGGGGGCTACTCGCGGCACGAGATCGCGTTCAAGACCGGGGGATACCCGCGCCTCCTCGACGAGCTGAAGCTGGACATAGGACGCATCGGACAGCGAAACCTAGGGCGCGACGACCGCGCCATGTCCCACTGGGGCAAGGAGATCCGCCACCCGTTCCTCGACGAGGAACTCGTCCGGTTCGCCATCAGCACGCCGGTGTGGGAGAAGTGCGACTTCCAGAACCCGTTCCACCCCGCTGTGATCGACCCGGCCAAGCGAGTGCTGAGGCTGATGGCCGATAAGCTCGGGTTATCCGTGATTGCGAGGGAGAAGAAGAGAGCGGTAAGACAACCTAACCTAACCTTACCTTAGGTAGCTAGCATCTAGTTAAAAAGGGGGGACGGAACGCAACGTTAAAAAGAAACACGCATTGCTGACGCTATATTCGCAGATCCAATTCGGCTCGCGAACCGCCAATATCGAAAGCCGCACCGGCAAGCGTCGGGGCACCGCGGCCATCACCGAAGTTGTCTAATAGTTCCACGAGCTCGTCGATAACAAGAACACATGATATGTAAAATACCTATTTCAAGTAAAACAGGTTAGAGAAAGAAAAAACCACGACTACTACTACTACTACTACTACTTTCTATCTACTCCTCTGGTGGTGATGATCATATCAGATACTTCCGAGTTGGCTCCCCTCATCCCCAGTCCAAAATCCAAAATCCCAGAAAAGAAAAAGATCCTATCATGTGTGTTTCTGCCTATCTTCGCAGTAACCCTTGATGAGACTTCTTTTCTTTTCTTTTTGGAGATTGGATATTGGTCTATATCTAAAGCCGACAATGACGTCTTAAAGGCATGTCTGAGCCAGAGGTTTTTCTTTTTCACTACTTGATTTCTAGCTAGGAAACTACCTAGGTAGATTAGTTAGTGCACCTGAGCTATAAAGCTGAATGGTTGTGATGCAAGCATACACGAGCATACGCGTGTTTTATTGCGAAGTGAACTTGTTCTGGATAGCTTTATTCTATCCTGAGCCATTCTAGCCATTGCAGCTACAGAACAAGGAATACGCTGTATTATTCACACTCGGAGCCAGCCATCTCTTATTGATCAATTCCGCACTTGTCCAAGGCTGCATACGATCGGCCGCAAGGGGAGTTTAAAATGTAAATTCATCGATTAGTATCTGAAAGCTTGAGAATCGCTCGTACATATCTCTCGGGAATAAGACTATCCATACCCCTTGGCAAACCCGTCGCATTTTACAAGTCATAAAACATTAACCATCGATAATGCTCGATGTCGGAACAACCACCTGAAGCCCCCTGTAACTGGATTACTATGTGAAGATCAATGAGCAGAGCACATGGAAATAGTAGAGAGAATAAGCCACGGAGATACCCTAGACGGTTAGGAGAGTCCTGCGCAAGATCAACTACCTAGGTCCGAGGGTTCTACATTCTAACCCGAAGAAGATATCGCAAACGGACTTGAGAGATATCGTAGCAGATGTACTCGTTGTAGAGAAGATAGACATTAGGAACGTTAGTAGGGCCGGGTTTCACGCTAGTATCGGGCTGTAGGGAAATACGACTGTTAGCAACAAGATAGACAAATTGTCAAATCTGGGGTAGGATAGGTTTTCTTACTATTTTCACCCCCTTTAATGATGGATGGATGCATTCTGCATCTTTCCATTTGCTCGGGCCTGTTTCGCCCTGACCCCAGGTGGATAGCATTCCCTTCGATTTAGAATCCTCGGCGGCGGTAGATGAGGCGTGTGTAAGTGTATGTATTGGGTCACCGAGTTCTGCTTCGCAGAGAAGGAGTAGTGCATGACCATTGCTGATAGATGGGAAGCAGTAGTTGGCAGACTTTACGATAGGTTAATGATGACTCTCACGAATCAGAATGAACCGCTTACCTTGCTGGACATATCCGCCAAGTAGATACCCTTTCCAAACACTATTATATGTTAACGTCATGTATACGATCCAAGACATGATCATGGGCTATGTGATGTGTTCGACATAGGATAAAGATAAAGGAAAATGAAGTAACATACTGTAAACATGTTAGCTTCATTACCATAAAAGTTAAGATGGTGAAAATAAGAGTAACACATACCTGTAACCTGTAACCGGGGCCTCGGGGGGTGCAATACGTAAACCTTGTGAGAGAATACCACCAAAATTGGTACAACGGGAGCCATGCCATAAAAGTCGTCTGTCCTGGTACGTCTTATGTGTGGTTTCCAGGCGATCTTTTTCACCTCCGCGCTCGATCCTGAAAATCTGCGATACCTGGTAATTGACGTAGTGAGTATGTCCTCGTGTATCCATCAGGTAGTCCACCAGTTGTGTAAACTCCGGACTATCGTGCTCAAGCGGGGTCATTTCGTTCATTCCTAAGCCTCTGAACTGTTGGTCAAGCTCATTAATCTTTTCTTTCCGTTCATTCTTCATGAGCAGCGACGCGTCCTTCATATCTGATAAGCTCTCGAGAAGTTCTATTTCTTTTTTGAGCAGTGTCGAATCACGAATAACGGGAGGGTGATTCCTTCCGAACGCGTGCGGAATCAAACTGAAATACAAGTTGGAGAGTCTTTCTGTTGCATCGAGGTAATCAGTGTTGTACTGAGATGCCGCCAATATTGGGTCGTTTAGTAGGGCCGAGAGATCTTTCAAGGCTTGAAAACCTCGAGAGATGGTGGTTTTGCTGAGCTTGCCTAGAGGTAGCTTATCAGCATCATATTTAAGGTCGGCCATAGTCGCCGCAAAGAACTGCTTGTTGAAGATGAGCTGCATCAATTCCTGAACCGGTCTGGAAAGTTTTGACTCGGGCATCTCCTCTTCTTCCTCCTCCTTTTTAATAGTAGCGTCTTTCGTCTTTTTCGTGTCCTCATCATCTTCTGAGTCTGGTTCGTACTAATGTATTTGAATTAGTGGTTGCTTTGCCAAAAGGAACTTTCTGGAGAAACATATGAAGGATGAGGGTTTTCTAGGCTAGCAGTTCATGGCAGGTAGATTTACTTTTACTGAAATTATTAGGGGAAAGGACGGCAAATGACAAACTGCATTGGAAAAAGATACTTACGCTTCTCTCGACGAATGCGTATTTTCCAGGCTTCGGAGGCTCTCCGCGGTCGACCCATGCGCGACCAGTCTTTGACTTGAACTTGTTGTCGAATTCAGAAAGAGCGACTTGCAGTGTGCCGTCGCCGACAGTTTTGGACTGTCCACGCTCGCCAACACGGCCCCATCGGGTCCAGCAGAAGAATTGGTCCTTGACTGATCGGAGCAACTAGCGAAACAATTTAGTAAACTACTTAGTCTAGTCGAGCATACGAGATGGGGAACTTTTACCTGGAGACGGTAGAATTTATTGTTGTTGGCTTTCGAGTTGGTCTGATTGAGAGAAGCGTCGAAAATGACGCCGTTGTCGTCAATATAAACCTCGTAATTAAAATACAAGGTATCGGCGATCTCGTCAAGGGGAATTCTAGCGTCTCGGGATTTAGCGATCTGACCATCGGCAACTTTTGTTTCTTTCGTCTCTTCCTCTTCTTGGCTCTCTGCTTTGACCTTGGAAATCTTAGACTTCTTTTTGGCTTTCGGTTTCACTTCCTCCTGGTCATCGTCCTCTTCATCGGCAGCAGAGTTCTGGGCCGCTGACCGTTTTCTGGTACTACGATTCTGTATAGGAAGGGATTGCGATTTAGACTGAGATTTGGATTGGGACTGGGATTGAACCTGGGGTTGTGATTGTGGCTGAGAAGAACCAATGCCATATGAGCCCTCGTCCATGCGAGCTGTGTGGTTTAATGAATCCTCGAGCCATTGAAAAGTGACAATGGGTACGCCAAGAGATTGCGCAGCCTTAACCTTAATGGAAGGTTTGTTGTAGTCCGTTTCAGTAGCGACAAGGTGTGTGGTAGCTCCCGTAACGTTCTTGGTCGGCGTCGCACCGAGAACCTTGATAAATTCTCGTTCAATAGCAGCTTGGGTACGACCAGGTATTGTACCACTGATCGCTATGGTGCATCCTTGTAAGGGAGGAGGAGGTGGTGATGGTGGCGGCGCTTTAGCTGCGGCTGCCTTTCTTCTGGGTGGCATTGTAGATATTGGTAGGTTAGATGGCTTAGGTAGGTACAATACCCAGGTAGGTAGTTATAGGGGTAGGTACACTTTTAAGATTTCGTTTGCAAAAACGCGCAACATGCAACGAGATAATATATGAGGTCAGCTCGGTAAAGTGATTACCTAGGTAATACAAGGTAGATTGATAATTACCTTAGGTAGATACCTATAAGATAACTACCTATAAGGTACGTTGTAAGATTAAAGAATGACGAGAGCGTTGGAGGATCGCAGAGGATCGTGGGGGATCGATTTGGGAGAGAATTCAGGAAAGAAATTGGGAACAATGAAAGTTTAATAAATATTGACATGAGCTCGCGCTCTGTGGCACTTTCTCTCTAGGCAACCGACGCCGAGGAAGGAAGGATGACCGTTGACACCAAATGAAGCGCGTGCTAACGTGACTTCCCCAGGCAGCAATGCCCTTGGTTTCTGACTTTCCCACCTCCATGCCTAAAAAGAGCGGAGCTGAAGAACTGAAGATCGAGCGCATTTAATATATTACCTAGGTTAGGTAGATACCAAAGTATTCTTTCGAGAACGTGAGTTGATTTCGATTTCAGTATTATATGATGGTCCACCTCTTACATGACATTTGTTCGTGACGTACACACATGCACTTCAATTAGGTATGTATTAGTAAGATTAAGTTAGGTAGAAGGTTGTTGCAATTTAACGAATGGTGTCAAGTTACAATCATGCCATATATGTATCAATGGGGGTCATTAATTTGTTTAGTTGCATCAAAAAAGGGGTGGCTGGGATTGGTCGACGCCAGAAATACTCTGTGGCACAACATTTAATACATCAAGTCCCTACATATTTCGCATCAACTTGTGTTGATTAAAATTAATACAGATTGAATTAGATACCTACACTTATACCTTGATTGGGGGTAGAAGAATCCGTAGCAATGGAATTATGAATTTTCCCTTTTACGAAATTCGACATCATTCGACTTAATAAAGGCTGGGGTCGTGTCCAGATATCGTTGTTTGATGTTCACAGAAAACGATTTCTCTTCTTTTTTTAAGAAAAGGTGTAATAGGTACAAATATACCATAAAAAAGAATCATTCACCCTTTCTTCTCATTCCCGGCTAGACTCGATCTTGACGCGCAAACACTCCAATCTAAGAAGAAAGCAGGTATCCAACGAAACCTTTATGGCTAATGGCTACCTAACCTTAGGCATGTAAGTAACAAACCAAAGCAACATCCATTTACCGTCCCGTACGGGGAAACATATACCCTTTCCTTGGGCAAACCGCCCGATACCGGGTCCCGGGATAAGAAAGCGGCGAGAGCCCTGCCTGCCATGCATCCCGCCGCTCTTCTCAGACTGGAGGGGAATTCTCCCAGCGATTCCCACTGTTGATTGGTCGATTATGGAAGATCATTCTTAGTGTAGGTGTGATCCCCAGGTTATGGCGTTCGCTTGTTTTGGAAAAGCCGCCCCCGAGTCGTTCAGTCTATTTTTCCCGAGGAAAGGGTTAGGTACCTAAGGTATTGCATTGCATCTTACCCGCCCGCGATGGCGGAAACGCTCCTGCAGGCGTTATCTACAAGCATGGGCCGGCTCCGGGGGTGATTTTTTTCTCCTATGCACTGATTTATTCCGTGGTATTTCGGCCGGATTATTGAGACGACTGAAGATGGCGAAAGACGTAGAGATTGACCAGAACCCTATACCGGACGCCGAGGATACCAAAAAGAGAGGACAACAGGCTTTCGATGTCATCGAAATGGAAAAGACACCACCGCAGCGCCAGGCTATAGAAAGCGGCCCCGAGGAGGACGAGGACGGCACTGCTAAACGCGGCTTGCCGTTTTCCAAAGCAAGATGTATTGCTTTAGTCGCAACGGTCACCGGAGCGAGCTTCCTGAACGTAGGTGGCGTTGCTATTTGAAGCCAGTGATGCATGTATCCTAGGTTAGCCAGCTAATTAGATGTTCAGACTCTCTCGATCCAATCGACTGTCATTATCCTACCGACCATCGGCGAGGATTTAAACATTCCTGAAAGTAGACTGCAATGGGTCGTATCTTCTTACGCGCTCACGTTCGGCTGCTTCTTGCTCCTGTGGGGCCGCATAGCGGACATCTACGGCAAACGCTCCATCTTTATCTTGGGGAGCGCTTTCGTAGCCGTCACGGCGATTATTAATCCTTTCATACCCAATGAAATCGGATTCAACGTGTTTAGGGGGTTGCAAGGACTTGTAAGTACTGTCATGAAAATTCGAGCCGTCCCGCATGGGAGGTAGCTTATGAATGCCAGGGCGCTGCCGCAAACGTTCCAACGGCTATTGGCATTTTGGGCGTGACTTTTCCGCCTGGCAAGGCAAAGAACTATGCATTCAGCTCGTACGGTAGGTCATCTTTATTGTCCGAATGTTATTACTGTTTTAGGTACTTATAGCTGATACTGATGCTCCCTCTAGCTGCCGGCGCACCGCTCGGCAGTGTATTTGGGAATCTTATTGCCGGTCTCATTGCTTCGTTTGTTAACTGGAGGTGGGTGTTTGGAGCCGTCGGTGGCCTCGCAATTGCAGTCACGCTTGCGGGTATACTATTCATACCTGCGCCGCCGCAACACGTCACAGTCGGGAAAAGCAGCTTCTCGTCGCTAAAATCCGTCGATTGGATAGGCGGTGCGCTCGTCACCGTTTCTATCCTGGCTCTGCTATTCGCCTTGACGGAAGGCAACATCGTCGGCTGGAACGCCATCTGGATCTACATGCTGATAGTCATTTCCGTGCTGCTTCTGGGTATCTTCGTCGCATGGCAGTGGTATCAGGAAAAACACACGACGAGCAAGCCGCTGATGAAGGTGTCCATGTTCAAGAGCGCTCGCTTCAGCGCCGCTATGGTCATTATGGCTCTGTTCTTCGCTGCTTTCAACGACCTCATCGTTTCCGCCACGTTCATCTTCCAGGACTACCAGGCACTTGGCGCGCTGCAGACGACCTATCGATTTATTCCTACCGGCGCCTCCGGGATCATCACCGCGTTCGTCGTGAGCCATCTCATCTCACGCATCCCCACTTGGATGCTGCTCCTTTTCGGTAATCTAAGTGTGTCGGTATCCTGTCTGCTATTTTCAATTCCTATCCCCCCCGACACGTCCTATTTCGCGTACGGCCTTCCGGCTTTCGTGCTTTCCGTAATCGGTGCTGATATCACTTGGCCGACTTTAACCTTATTTACCTCGAAATCTTTACCCCAAGACGGCCAGGCGCTAGGAGGTGCACTTATCAACGCGATGGGGCAAATCGGAAGAGCCATTGGGTTGGCTATCACCACGGCCATCCAGACTGCCGTTATGGCGAGGGACAGGGGAGTGTCGGTAGAGGCTTCGGGCAAGATCCTGCCCTGGGAACCTGCATCCCTAGCCGGGTTGAGAGCTGGCATTTGGTTCAACTTCGGGCTCGCGCTTTGCTGCGCGATTGTTGTTACTGTGTATTTTCGCGGAACCGGCATCGTTGGTAAGATTGAGAAGAAACCGCAACAATCAGCGAGTATGCTCCGTCAAGAAGATGCAACATGTCAGGGCACTACTCGCAAATAGATCTTGACTATTATGTGCATTTCCAGGCGAGATACCTACATCATCTATTATTTTTTTATATATTATACGGGCGATTTACTTTGAACATATGCTCTTGGATTCATAGGATACGTCCCTAATGTACATGTCATGCGTTTTTTGGCTCCATGTTCCACTACTTGGGTGCCTGTACCAGGTTACTACAGTAGATTTCACAAAACGAGATGGCAAAAGCAAACCACAAGGCAATGTGACATTACCGGTGCTACACACTCGAAGTATCTAGTTACTAATAACATGGTATAGGTTTTACAAGGTAAGTAAATCTTTCGCAAAGTCTATCTAGGTACCCAGGAATGTCATATATGCGGACGATTATTGTTCCTTCTCTGCAGGCCAAAATAGCCAGGACACAACGACAAGCAGCTTCAATCCCGCAGCGATCCATAGTACGCCGGCAGTGCCAACCGCGCTCCTAGCCAGTACCCCACCGATCACGGCGCCGATAAAAAGCAAGACGGGAGCCCCAACCCGGCGGTTGCGCTCGGGGTTATGCGGGGCGAGCAGCGCGGCGTCGGAGAACAGGTCGCAGTAGATGCTCGTTAGGACAACGCTCGTGAGCGCGTTGTACTTGAGGGCGCGGCTGACGATAGCCTGGCCGCAGCTCTGGAAAGCGATGAGCGCGATGGGGACCAGCACGGGCCAGTCGACGGCCTCCTTCTTCGTCGCGCCGTCGGACTGCGGGCCGAAGGTGAGGATGGCGGCGGCGGCGGCGACGAACAGCATCTGGATGAGGAAGGAGGCGCATAGGACCCAGCGCCGCTTGGGCGACGGCGAAAACAGCCGGTGGAAGGCGCTGAAGAAGACGGACCCGATGCAGAAGCACCCGAGCGAGGTCCCCGACTTGATCCACCGAGTCGACTCGTGCGGCGCTGCGACGCCGAGGCCGAAGTAGACCGTGTTTCCTAGTAGGTAGATTCCTTTTAGCAAAAACAAACAGTGATGGTGTTTATAAGATTAGGTATGGCACAAACCTGTCTGCATCGACACGAAGGAGCCCCAGGTGGATATCGATGCGCTGTCAAGCATGCCGGTGATGATATAGCAGGCGAGCAAGACCAAGTCGGCCCAGTCCCGGCGCACGTCCGTCATCAAATTTTCCTTCCATCCCGCAGACTTGGAAGTCTCATTATTGCTAGCGAGAAGAGGTTGTTGCTCTATATCGCCGTTGGTATTTGTCCTCTGGGTAGTAGGCAAAACGCCATATCCATTGGATGCCATCTGGTGCTGTCTTTGGTGTTGAGTGGCAGATACGGTTTTAGATTTAAAATGAAATGAAATGAAACGATTGGTCTTAACAACCCGGTGAGGGTGTCTATGAAGTAAATATATATGGACGAGATTGGTGGTTTGCTATCGCCAAGGGAGGGAGATGTGAGATCTGCCTCGTTTCCCCGTGGCCGTGTAATAGGGCAGTGTCCGAATGACGCGTTTTTATTTTCAGCTATGTATTTGGGGAAGGTCACCCTTTAACGTCATAGAAAAAGCTCTTGTAGGTTTTCCTATTTAACTAGGTACCTTAGGTAGTTACCGTTTTTCTACTTACTCCTTTGCCAAGGGGTTGATACCTCAGATCCTCAACGGCTCAACCTAAAAGTGAAGATTGCCCGGCTACGAATCCCAGATAGGCAGGAATTTATAGAGCAGCGCTAGTGTCCGGTATGGTTTCACTGCCTCCTAGATATGCAACTGCAGTTACCCGTGATAAATGAGCCCCCTACCTAGATCTTGGAGCCGTGTAAGCGAGGAGGCGCATACTGGCATATTGCAAATGCAAGTTACTATAGGTATGTAAAAGGTTGAAAGTTTTCATCAGCAAATTCCGAGATGCCGGGATGATAACAAGAAAGAAAGCACATGTATTTTTGACGTAATGGAGATCGGCTTACGGCACATAATTCTCCACTTGTGTTACCTTATTTCGACCTAACACGGGTACCTACCAGCCTACCCAGGTACCTTACTAGGTAAAGGCCTAGGTCCTATCTTTTGCTCCGAATCTCTCATCTCGGAATGTAGGCACAATCACAACCCGTTGTTCCCAGCGCTTGTCTCACGACGACCTTTAAACCCATTCTAGAGCTGGTACCAGGTATATACATGCATAGCTGGAATGCCATGGAGTATATTCGGTTTTTACTCGGTGTTGATCCCTTGTTTCCAATCCAATCGGGAAACTTACTACGGTAAGGTAGCTCAAGGGTAGGTTGGCCAGCTTGGACGAGACCTTGAAGCTTGAATGGCTACATAGTACGAAGCTCTCTCTCTCTAATAAGTCGATTGCTTAACTATGACGCCCTTCCCATTTAAGTACTCCCTCCTATACTATGTTTGCCTATCTTCTAGAAATTCATTTATCTCCATGACAAATCTCAGCCGATATTCAATTGCCCCTTATTTGATTTATAGAGATCTTAGCTTCGTTCTTTAATTTGTTCGAGCGACGACTTATAAGTCAATCGCTTTCTCAAAATGCAGTCAAGAAACGGTTACGGCCTTTCTCCATGGAAACTGTTGGTCACGGGCCTCGCATTAAGCAATTCTGGTCTTGCTGTTCCCGTAGATGACAGCCCTCGTCAGTATCTCCTAGCTGGTCTTGATCTACCGCCGAAATATAGCAAAAAGCCAAAGTCGCCCTATAATCCCGACTATAGGGACCCGTACGATCGTGCCGTCGATGCTGTAGGAGACAAATTGGATCCACTCCCCTATCGCAATGGATTAGGCGCATCTGTTCTCGGTCCATGGAACAGAGAGAGGTCTCGCCAGTCTCCAGATCTAGTGCGACCGCCCAGTACGGACCATGGAAATATACAAAATCTGCGCTGGAGCTTTGCCGATTCCCATGTGCGCATTGAGGTATGAGAATAAGGTTCCAACGATATAACCTTCCCCGCGTCAGACCTAACCTAACCAATATATTATCTAGGAAGGGGGATGGACCCGGCAGACCACCGTCCGCGAATTAGGTGCCAGCGTCGAACTGGCTGCCGTGAATATGCGCCTCGACAAGGGTGTAATCCGTGAGTTGCACTGGCACAAAGAGGCCGAGTGGGCATTTGTCCTGGACGGCGAAGTTCGTGTTACCGCTATCGACTACGAAGGTGGGAACTTCATAGACGATCTCAAGAGAGGCGACTTATGGTATTTCCCAAGCGGCGTACCTCATTCCCTTCAGGGATTGGGCGAAAACGGTACCGAATTCCTACTGATCTTCGATGACGGAAACTTTTCTGAGGAATCTACTTTCATCATCTCTGATTGGCTAGGTATGTAGTATACCACACCTTCTCACATAAACTTTTTTGAGGCTGACATTATTTATCAGCTCATACTCCCAAGTCCGTGGTCTCAAAGAATTTCAACCTAGCACCCGAAGTATTCAAACATCTCCCCGCAGGAGAGAAGTACATTTTCCAGGGCCGAGAGCCCGGCTCCATCGACGATGAGAAGCCCACAGGCAAGGGGGTCAAGAAATCCAAGTACAACTTCGTCCACAGGATGCTCGACCAGGAACCCCATAAGACCAGCGGCGGCGAAGTCCGAATCGCAGATTCAAATAATTTCAAAGTCTCCAAGACCGTGGCGGCGGCCCACGTAACTATCGAGCCCGGTGCCATACGAGAGATGCACTGGCACCCGAACGCCGATGAATGGAGTTTCTTCATCAGAGGCCGAGCACGCGTCACCGTCTTCGCCGCCGAAGGAACAGCTCGGACTTTTGACTACGTGCAGGGCGACGTCGGGATCGTCCCCGCAAACAACGGCCATTTCGTCGAGAACATCGGCGACGAGCCAGTTGAGATGTTGGAGGTGTTTCGCGCGGATGAATTTAGGGATTTTTCCCTCTTCCAGTGGTTAGGCGAGACGCCTAAGAAGATGGTCATCGATCATCTATTCAAGGATGACCCGGAGAACGGCGAGATATTCTGGAACAAGATCAAGAACGCGGAAAAGGACGAAGTTACGCTTCCCAGCCCGGATAACGAGATGGAGTCGGGAGAACGAGAACTGTAAATTTGTCTTGAGTGTCTCGTAACTACCTACTTGTACTAGCTTTGTTATTCTATTGATGCTTGTTTCCTTGTAGTATTTACTCTCTATTTAGCTTGGCTATTTCAAGAATTGGGAAAATGATGTACTGAAAATACCAATCTCCTCCTTCTCTATTTATCTCTTATACACCGAATAGACATTCTTGCTTAGTGATGTATAGCTCATTAGGGAAAAATGAAATGTTTATTCAGTATGAGGATAATTTATCCATGAAAACCGTACCTAGCCCACGGCTTGCCGCTGTTAGTAGGTAATAATAATACAAATGTCGAAACTCGAAATTTCATTAATTCTCTTAGTGTTCAGCATAGGTATCAATTGTGTATTGTGTTATGAATTGTGTTGTGATTATACCTAACCTATCAGCACGCACCTGCCAGAAAAAAATCCAACTCGACCATTATAGGCACAGCATTACGTAGAAGGATACGCGCCCCTGATCCACTCGGGAAACTACATACCTGTTCGGCTTATCATGCGAGTTCCTTACTCAGTTCACCATCCCGGACCATCAGAGTTCCTTTACCAAAACAAAACAACCTGTTGAGTGGAATCCAAATATTGATAAAGAAGGATCACAGAATTAGATACCAAAGATGGTTGTCAGCCTTTAACACTCATCGGAACTAATTCCGCGGAAGTAAAGCCGTGAAGGTATCCCGACACAGCATCCGCGTAATCACATCGACTTTCTTTTGCAACCGCCTTCCTACCTAGGATCATGCTCCGTAGGTCGGGCTTCAGATAGCTTGAAACTCGGACTATACACGGCATCGCGCATAGAATTCCTTGAACATCGATTCCTAACGCTGCTGAGGCTGCACATCCATTCAGCATGAAAACAGCCCACCGCCTCTCCGTATAATACTTACTGTGTAGATGCCTCCTTTCTAACATTGGACTAGTGAAGCATCCTAAACCACCGAGAAATGTCCAGCTGACCATGCCGCTAACCCCGAGATTTGAGAGATCTGAGAGCCTCCTTGCTGCGTAGATCGAGACTAATGTTCGAGGAAAGACGGCTGGGCGGTTTGCTATCCCGCTGCGGGGGAGTCTAGGGAGTTATGGGTCTCTCCGTCGACGCCGTCGCTTACCTAGGTAAGCATAATCCCGATTCTAGCTTCTTCATGGCTAGCTTGTAGGGCTAAGTTAAGTGAGGGAAAGACAAGAGATGGGTCTTTGTGCTAACATCGCATAGTGTTATATGTGAAGTGTCTATATATCTAGGTCCTAAGTAGCCTTTGAAGATATATATAACGTATAACCCTATCGTCAATCTGAGAGAAATACCATCCTAACACTATCACCTTATATGTTACTTTGGAAACGAACAAGAGAAATCTGTACTGTTATTGTAGGTACCATCTCCATCTCTTCAGTGATAAGCTTACCCTAGGTAGGTACCTAACCTAACCGAGATGAAGACATCCAATCGCAACATTGTCCCAGTATGGACCTTCAAAAGCTAGACTACTTGCTTTTGAATTATCTACCTTAGGCACCTACTACCCGATGATGTACTGACCCCATGAGCGGTAGCATTAAATTGGAAACATACCCGGAGGAGCGCTTACGAATTCCCGAACACACAACCAACAGCAGCAGGACGAACTGCTCAATCATATCTCGTTCCGTTATATACCCCCGGTGTCACGGCGGCATATTGATTTATACCCACCCACCAGTTAGGAAAGTAACTGCGGCATCCAGTAAGGGCGGGTATGTAAGGTAAGGGTTAATTAGGTGTGTCGTAATTGGTATTGTACAATTCTCACCAACCTATCAGGTTCCTTTGCCGCTCATTACCCCACGAACTTGGGATCGCTGGGATATTTCACCTTCGCAAACAAGGCTTTGCTCCTATTTTTTTTTTTTTTTTTTTTTTTGAACGAAGATTTTACTTCACAGAAACTACGCAAGAACACCTGTTGGATTAAACAGTATATAATCCGTACATGTGATGGAATTGGAAGAAGGTTAGTAGTCCTACCACTTGGCATGAGCTGCATGCCGCATAATAACCAGGTCTTGTCCATGCAATGTCACCGTTACATCCAAAGCTTGGTACGTATCAAGCTTTTTGTTACCCATGTAGGATAACCGAGAGGGGAAACTTTTAGAAATCGTGGCGTTTTCCAATATGCTTGGCCGCATCGTCCTAACCAAACCCTCCGGCAGTAGAGAAAATACCCCGGCTATACGGCAACGTATTAGATGAACCGTTTGTTTCCCAGCGGACGCACGCTCCCACGAAGCCCAAGAAATTCAAGAAATCCAAGAAGTCCAAGAAGTCCCAAGAAGACCAAGACTCTAGGCAGTACGCTTAACTACCACGCAATCGCATCCCGACAGCGTGACTACAAGCATGCCAATCCCTTGGCCGAGTTTGATCGTGGCCGCGATCCGAGGACTCGGAAATGCGGTTTGAAACTTATAAGATGCCAAGAGATCTAACTACAAGACTACAAGACTATATGACAATATAGACTTACCGGTTTACAACTTGCATAGGATTGGCAGAGATGTGCACATTACATCTGCGGAATTGATCTGAGTGATATCACATGGTGTATACGGTAAATTGAGGCGTATGTAACCTGTATGCGGAAGAGGAACGTGGTCACAGTAACCATGTATTGTGCCTAGAAGAGAACTACCTACACCCAAAGCTTGCTATCACTAGAGATTCCCGCGGGGAAATACCAAAGCTCGAGCTCTGAAGTTTGAAAGATGATCTAGGCACTGGGTATAAGAGCTGGTACTATATAATCACCAGGCCAGATGCGTGACGGGCGATGCTAATCGCTGAACAAACACCCATATCTTGACACTGATTGGCTCGAACCAACTACTCCAGGGGCTAAGGTAGATCGCGACGAATCTTCTTCTTCTGTTTCTATTTTAGAAGACATCCCTCGTTCCGTATACACTACCTATACGTTATTGCTCCAACGTGCCTACGTGCACACTTCGATCAATCAACTAGTTACCCCGCGTCCTTAGGTATATCGCTTTCCTAGGCCCGGCACTGTTCACCCACAAAGACTAACGATCAACTGCTAACTACCTCTAACACCGGGCATTACAGTTGCATTTGGCCAGGGGATGGAATGGCGAATCGCATCTAATCCTGTATCTCAGATTCGCCTGTACCGTCTGCACGAGTCATCGCACAGCAGCAGTAGCAGTAGCAGTAAGTGAAGACGGGAGACTCTTCTAATTTTTCCTCTGCTTTCACTTCCCCCCCCTAAAGGCCCCCATATCGTACCCCCCTCCCTCGCGTGGGCTACCAAGCGTGACTTACATACCCCTACGCTGTGCTCCGTTGCTCTAACGTTTGATTTGACCTTAGGTTGGATAGGTTAGGTACAGGTTAGGTACCTACGTAAGCAGGGAAACGGGAGGTTTCAATAATGTATTCGAAGCGAAAGAGGGAGAGAGAGAGAGACACGGAGAAAGACATAGTCAATCCCTATAATACCGACAGAGTCGCGAGAATGTGCCGAAGGTGGGTGTGATCGCCACGGAAGTGATAGGTTCTCTTGAGGCGAGAAGACGTTGTCGTCTCCCCGTTGATACAAGTATCTTCATGGAACCTTCTGTTTCCGGAAACCGTTGTAATGATTGGAGCGTAGTAGTGTTATGCCTGCCTACCTACCTACACACCTGCATACATACATGTATGTATGTATGTATTAATCTTGGTTCTCTATAGACTTTGAGTTTCAGACCTTTAGGTATATATTAATACCTATCATGTCGAGCTCAGCCGCAGTAATCTAGAGATACTAGTTCGTCAGTTGTTGGTCTTTCTATATTTCCTTTGGTACTCTTGGCTAGGTACCTAACCTAACCTACCTGTCATGGAGAATCGAGTTAGAACTATCAAAGACGCCGTTAAGGAGGAGTTCCGGACGGACGTCACCCTCAACCGAGTAGCCAAGTTCGCTCGCACCGCCCCTAAACACTTCCCGTCGGCTGCCAAGCAGTACCTCGCCGACAAGCTTCCTATCATCCAATGGCTACCGCGATATTCCCCGTCGTGGCTCGTCCAAGACTTCATGGCTGGCCTCACGATTGGAGTACTGCTCATCCCCCAAGGTCTAGCATATGCTAAGATCGCAACGATTCCTATTGAGAATGGACTTTACTCTTGTTGGGTTCCTGCTGCGGTGATGGTGTTTATGGGGACGTCGAAGGGTGAGTTGCTTCCGAACTTATATTGATACACAGCAGTGTAGTAAAGAGACACTTACATATAAGGATAGATCTGTCAACGGGACCAACCTCGATCTTGGGTCTACTAACGGCAGAAATCATCCGTGATCTAAAGAACGAGTACTCCCCCACCAACATCTCGTCGGCCGTCGCCATGATGGTAGGCATCTGGTCGCTCCTTATAGGTCTGCTCGGACTCGGTTTCCTGCTCGACTACGTCTCGATCCCCGTCCTCACCGGATTCATCTCGGCAACGGCCTTCGTCATCGGCATGGGCCAGGTCGGTTCCTTAGTCGGGCTGAGCAATGTGCCAGACGGTGCTTTCAACCAGCTCGGCAACGTCCTGAAGCGTCTCCCGCACTGGGACGGCCCAACCTGCGGGATAGGCTTCGGCACCGTGGTCGTCCTGCTAATCCTCCAGAAGATCGGCAAGAAATGGGGCAACAAGCACTTCGCCATCCGGTACATGTCCAGCAGCAGGGCGATCATCGTGATGGTCATCTTCACCTTGATCTCGTATCTCGTCAACAAGGATCGCGACAAGTACCTCTGGAGCGTCAGCGAGGTCAACACCCACGGGATCCAGCACCCGAAAGCCCCCGGGGCAGACCTGCTTGCAAAAGTTGCCGCGCGCTCCATCGCCCCCTTGGTCGCGTGCACCCTCGAACACCAGGCTGTCGGCAAGGCGTTCGCGCGCCGGAACCACTACGCCATCGACCAGACGCAGGAGTTCAACTACCTCGGCGTCACGAACATCATCAACTCGTTCTTCGGCGTGATGCCCGTCGGCGGGGCTATTTCCAGGACCGCCGTCAACTCGGAGTGCAAAGTCAGGAGCCCCCTGAACGGCGTCGTTACGGCAGGCTTTATTATCCTGACGCTATACGTCTTCTCGCCGGCTCTCTACTGGCTTCCTAAGTCGACCTTGGCCGCCATCATCGTAAGCCCCCGCCCCCGCCCCCCCTTTTTTTTTATCTCTTCCCCCTTTCCCCACCCCTGCCCTCTTTAATATCAACTTCCCGGAACAACTCTCATATTCATACCTACCTAAGGTAAGATATCATACTAACCCCACCAACAGATCATGGCCGTAATCCACCTCTTCGGGCCCCTCTCCCTCATATGGCGATACTGGCGCATCTCCCTGGCCGACTTCGTCGCGTGCATGGTCGCCTTCTGGGTCACGATCTTCGTGTCGGCGGAGATCGGCATCGGCGCGGCCGCCGGGTGGAGCGTAGCCTGGACGCTGCTGCGCTCGGCCTTCGCGACGCCCTCGATCCACGCGAGCCAGGCGACCGCCGCCGGGGGCGCGGACAAATCAGGCACTTTCCGGCCCTTGACACACATCCTAACGACAACAACAACAACAGCAACGACGGGGATGGGGACGGGGACGACGGGTGGTCATTTTAATAGTAATAGTAACAATAATAATAATAACCAGATGCCGCGGGCGGGACTGACGACGACGACGGAGAATGTCGGGGGGCCCGTGATACCGGACGACACGGTAGTGGTGCGGTTCGGGGACGCGCTGTTCTTCCCGAACGCGAACCGCAGCAAGGTGGAGGCGCTAGAGGCGATGCAGCTGGCGTACCCGAGCGTGGCGAGCCCGCAGTACAGCGCGGACGCGTCGCGGCAGTGGAGCGTGGCGGCGGAGCGGCGGCTCGCGCGGCTGCGGGCGGAGCGCGGGGTCGTCATGCGCCAGATGCCGCTGTCCGTCGTCATCTGGGACTTCGGCATGGTGCCGTTCGTGGACGCGACCGGCATCACCGCGCTGGCCGAGCTCAAGGACGACGTCCGCAGGCAGCTGGGGTACGGCGTGCAGATACGCATGGTGGGCATGACCAAGGGGGTGCGCAGCCGGTTTCGGCGGGCGAGCTGGAAGCTCGCGGATGCGGATGGCCTGGTCGATGGGGACGCGGATGTGGTGTATCCGTCCCTCGAGAGGGCGATTTGGGATGAGAGGGACCGGGATAGCTTGAAGGGTGTTACTGAGGAGAAGCTTTGAGGTTATTATTGGTGGGCGGAGTATATGATTGTTACGTCTGTTTTGTCTGGCTTTGACTATCGCATAGGGGGAGGGATTTTTGGACCGGAATATTGACTTCTGATGAAACGAAGCGATACTATGGAGTACATCAAATCAATCAAACCCTGATTTCTCTCCGAGGAAAATTGCCTAAATAAGACACCAAGAGATATGAATGATTCTCAATAAGTTGCTGGTCCAGTTGATATCTACCTAAGGTATGTAAGTGGACTATATTCTGAACACTTCTACTCTTGAAGACTAACAAGTATTATTTAGGTAGGTACCTAACCTATGCAATTCTAAAAAGAGATCTGGTAGTATATGAAATATCAGGGCATCAGCTTGTGTTTTCTACTCTTTAACCATCTACGAATGCCTCGTTCTTAGCCTTCTGCGTACTCTCGTCGGTAGATCCATCTTTGTTAGTTGAAGGGCGGTTTGCAATCAAGCGCTGAGCCCGGGTTAGCATCCTCTAGAACGTCTACTATCTTAAGTTATAGATAACATACCACGAGGTTTCTAAGTAGAACGGCAATGGTAACTTTGCCAACTGAAGGGACGTAGATGGACGCCTTCTCTTTGACAGCGGGTCCATCGAAATTTCGGAATGAAGAGAAGTTGATGCAGACGGTTCCATCGCGGATGAGCTCCGTCGGCACCTTAAAGTTTTCTGTGGGAACACCACCAATGATGACGTCGCTGATGGGTATGCATTGCTCCAAGGTCCAGCCCTCTTTGTTATGGACCTGGTGTCGTGGCTGCTTGATACCCTGTCCACGAGTGAAGACCTGAACTCCGGTTATGTCAACCGAGTATACCGTGGCACCATCGTTGGCAAGCAGGGCAGCCAACGGGCGACCATTGACTTCCGAACGGTTGATGACGGTAATAGTTCTCCCGAAAAGCCGGTTTCCGTAGGGGAGAATAGAGTTGTAAATCTGGAGATACTCCAAGATCTTGACCACTGCTAGAGGGGTGCAGGGTAGGATGGACTTCTTCAAATTGTGAGGAGGGTCTAAGAACCTGACATTGTAGTACATGTTGTGAATGTGTTTATGGCAGAGACCCTCAACATCTTTTGCGAGCGATACGGTCTCCTGAACGTAGCGGTCATGAGCCGGGTTGCCAGGGAAGATGGGATAGTAGACAATGATGCCATCCACTTTGTTGTCCTCGTTGGCATTCATGATCTCTTCTTCCAGTTTATCCTTGTCTACTTGACGTAGGTCGAAGGTAAAGCCGCTAAATATCAGTAAGCATTATTGCCCCCAGTGTAAGTGAGCAAAAGGCTCACTGCATTGAGAGCATGCGGTTTCTTACTTCTCTTCACAAGTCTTCTTTGACCACTCAGCATACTTAACCGCTGCCGGGTCATCGTTGGCAAGGAAGGCTACTAGGGTAGGTTGACCTTCATTGTCCTTCTGGATAGACTTTAATGTATTCTTCACCTCAGTAAGAAGGCCTTTAGCAATGGTCTCTGCTAGTACGACCTTGCAGGTCTTGGGTACGTCTTGGGTAGACATTGTTCGATAGGAGTTGGACTTATGTAAACTAGATCAGCTGGAATGTTCTTTCATACGTTTCTGTAAGGATGAAGTTAGGTAAATATATATCTTCATATATGGGAGAGATTATCATAGAGATATAGAAATAATAAAATATGTATAACGAATAGGATGAAATATAGGATGAAATCTATATATAACACAAGGCACGAGTGAATTTCGACATACCTGCCCCACTACGAGTATTTGTGCAACTTGTGCAGCGTGTAATGTGTAAGTTAACGTAAGCAGAGTGACACGAAGAAATTTTAAGAGATATGGACGGTTAAGGAGATACTTTCGATGACAATGGTAAGCCGCAAATCGGACAGCTAATTATATGGTATTCACTAAACATCCCGTAGTAGGTGTCGACTTTGAAGCCAAGTTTTTTTTTTCTTGTCCGTTCAAGGAACCCCCACCAAGCTGCCTAGCGCTAGCGCTAGCGTAATGTGCGAAAAGTCCCTAAAAAAAATTGATTGCCCCTCCTACTTCTTATGGAATTGGCCCTAAATCGGCAGCTCATCCAGGCACTCACTCTACTCGGATCATCGTGCAGCCGCGGGGCATTTCGTCATTCAGATTTAGGTTAGGTAGCGGGAGGTACAACTTCAATATTAATTATGTACATCTTAAGGTACTTTAATATTTTAACATTTTCGACGGCGCATGATTAAATAATATTTACCACATCTTCTAATAAGGTGACTTATTTCTTAGGGGTAGTTGTCTATAAAAAGAACTGCACCTGAAGACGCCCCCCGTTCGACTTTCTCGAATAACATTATCTTGTCCCACTACAAAGAATGGCGACCGTCAAGTTTGACGATCTCGCTTTGCAGTATGTTCTCGCAGATGAGAATGATCAGGAACAAGCAATATCAGAGAAAGCGGCAACAGGTAAGTTTTCCTGTAAAACAAAATAAGTAATATTGACTTGCCAACACCATCTTCGAAGCGATTCAAGAGTCTACGAACACCAGAATAGCCGTTGGTCAGTGGGTCGCTTCTATAAACCGTTGGATTCAACCAGGTGATGATTCGAGCGATGATAACCTCATTACCCGAGCAAAGGCCCTAGACTTTCTAGCTAGCACCCTTGGTATCCTCAAGAAGAGAGATGTATCATTGACAGCCGACCAAATTAAACTCTTGGTAACTTTCTTCGGCTCCCTCTTTTCGAGTGACCATCGAGCTGGAGTTACAGCTTCAGCAAAAGCGTTAAAACACCTGGTTAGCATGAAGTCATTCCAACCCATTCTAGGAGATGATATAATTGCAAACATCTGTAAGCTGGGTGATGATTTCAAACTACAGGCCCCAGCGACACGCCTGGAGCTTTACGAATTATTTCTTGGGCTACTCCAAGATCCCGCCGTGGCCAATCATCTTGAATACCGCCACGGAAGTACGTGCGGATTTATGACCAGCCTTCTAGACCTGTGCAGAAACGAAAGAGATCCACAGAATCTAATCAAGTGGTTTGAGACTCTAAAAATATTTCTACAGAATTTCTCACCCTCGGAAGATATTACGTTGGAGGTCTTCAAAACATTCTCGGCTTATTTTCCCATTTCTCTGCGGTCATCAGCTACACCGTCAGGTATTACCGCTGACGACCTGAAGAGCGCTGTGCGGTCGTGCTTTGCTGCCCATTACCGCCTGGCCAATCATGCGATACCGTATCTCGTTAACAAGCTCGACCAGGGGGACGCGGTGACCGTTACCGTAAAGGTCGACATCCTACAGACGCTTGACGCATGTTTAGTCCAATACGAGCATCCTAAGCAAAGTGTCGTCCCGTTTGTTGATCAGATCTGGAGCTCGCTGAAATACGAGGTTCGAAACGGGGAGATCCCTGATACCATCAAGGCAACTCTAAAGGTCATACGATCCCTTACTGCACGGCTTGACGAGGATGAGCTTCGATCGTTCTTAGCAAGCTCTTGGAGAGACCTTGTCGAAGACATATCTAGTCCAACCTATACAGCTCAAGCTGGTAGACTTCTAGTCGCAATCTCTGGGGCTGGGCCCCAGTCGTTTTCGAGTATCACCCCCCAAGCCATTTCTCACATCCAATATACGCTTAAACATACTCAATCTACGTCGCATAAACAGGAGCTAGTGGCATTACTGAACTCGATTCTCACCATACGGTCACACCTAGTTGATACATTAAAGGACAACCCCGACACGAATGGCAGCCCGAATCTACTAAATGATGAACTATTCGGTGACTCGCTATTTTCTGAGGTTTATGCACCTCTATGGAAGGAAACTTCGGGTGCTCAGGTAAAAGAGCAAGGCGGCGTCTTCAAAAAGACCTTGGAAGGACTTGCCACTCTCGCAGGACAGCGGTCCAGTGACACCGACTCTTCTCGCCAGTTATGTTCTCGTTCTATTTGCGAGAAGATTTTCAATTGGCTTGCGAGCCCGTCGATCGTATATCCGCTGGAGGGCAAACAGTTCAATGAAACTAATAGTGAGGCAAATCAAGACATTCGTGATGCTGCTGTTACAGCGCTCAAGGAAGCTGTTCCTCTGTACCCTCCTGCCTTTCAACTTCTGCTACAACAATACCTGTCCTCACTCAAGGTAGCGTACCAACAGCAACTCGCTCTACATGAGCTTCCTCTGGAGATTAAATTGGTTGCTGGTACCTTATGCGAAGTTGGCGCCTCAGGTTCGCTCGAGAAACGGTCATTATTATCAAATTCCGTCTCTTTGATCAACACCCTACTGAAAGGTTTATTATGGATGCTTTCGGTACAGGCCCCAATAAGATATTGGACTGCACTCATATGTTCCATCCACTTCTCTATTATACAGTCTCTGAGTTCAAGCTCAGAGCAAACACTCAAATCCTCGCAACCAAGGCCTTATACCATTACCAAGGAATGGCATAGTCAATTTGTCCAAAGTATCGAGAACGCCGGGGCCCCTCGACTTGACTTGAGCAAGTTTGGAAATCCCGAACTGGTAACCCAGGCGCTTGAGCAACCAGAGATACAGGATATCGACGTCCACAAGATATTGTTATCGTATTCTCTCTCCATCGTCGAACAATTATACCGTCGTTTTACCACTGTTCAGTACCACAGTGCCGAGAACAACGGAGGCAGTCCCCAAATAGGACTCAGTAAAGACTTCAAGGAAGGACATGACTCTAGTGTCGAACAAGATATATGTCTTCACCAACTCGGTCTACTAGCTGCATCAGTAGTTCGTGCGTTAAACGGGGACGAGCAGAAAGCTCTCAACTTGAGCAAAAATGCGTTTATTCTCTTCCATAACGTGGATTCGGACAATGCTGATGTGTCAATAAATTTACCCTCGGAGAATATTGGAGTGAGCCCGTTAGACGAATTCCGTACAGCACCTTTATCAATGGGTATACTTCAAGGCCTCCATCCTGGCGTGATGGACGTAGAGGTAAGAAAAGCAGTTGTTCGATTCAAATTTATAATGACTGACCGTATCGCTAGTACCATACCAACGCGATGAAGAATATTTGCACTGTTCTGACCACATTCCCGTCGCCCTGTTCTGATACGACAAGGGCTGCCTTAGATATTATTCTTACGATATTATCGAACAAGCTCCGCTTAGAAGACGAAAACTATAGCAACGCAAAACTGCAAATCCAACAAAACCTGACCGATGTCCTAGCCAAAATCTCGAGTCAGGATCCGGGATTTAGTGTTCGCGTCTTCCGCAGCATTCTTCATTTCTTAGCCGGAGATGTGGCACGATTCCGGAGTACTCCTGATACACATAACTCACTGCTCAAATTGGTGTGCGAAAAGGCCCCATCGGAACCCACAGTAGGCCGCCAGTTGGCAAGGAACTTTGAAGTCCTCGTCAGTCCTAAGGAGTGCTTGGAGAAAGAAAACCACGCGATTATAAAGAGACTGAGCGGCGAGTGGCTGTACTTCAAAGCTGTCCAGCCTTACTTGAAGGACTGCTTCCCCAATTCGGGTGTGGACGAGACTGTGGCCGTTAATCGTGCCGTAATGGTGTTCGCTATCCTAAAGCACCTCCAGTACGAGCAATACGCCAGTGACATTGAGCAGATCGTACGTATCGGTATCCGGTCTCTATCAACTTTTAATACGGGGCTAGAAATGGAGTCTTGCCTTCATGTTTTGCTCCAGGTTCTTGAGAAGGGGCCGAACGCGCTCAAAGAGCATCTCGCTGGCCTGATCTCAGGGATGGTCACGGTTTACGAGACGGCCAGAAAGGAGCCCAAAACTACAGGGCCTAAAGAAGATGCTACGGGGGCCAGAACCAAATCAAAGGAACGAGTTCTGTGCCGAAAGTTCGCGTTGGAATTCTTCCAGAAACTACCGAACTCGTACGAGTCTCAGTATCTTGTGCCTTATCGCCAGCAACTGCTACGTCCCCTTTCAGCAGCCTGTGGCGACTCGGTTAGGGAGATTCGACGGATAGCACTGGGGGCAAGGAAGGCTTGGGAAGAGCTTGCTTGAAGACTCACTACTGGAACTTAATGTGACCTAGCTAGATAGTCGGCCGAGATAGTACTACACGTAGTTACTCTAGTTCAGATAAGAGGTTGAGTCCTCTAGAAGGGTTCCAACTACTATCAGCCTGTAAGCTAGGAACTGAATATACCTATGCGAATGGTCTTGCAACGCTGCATTCAAGCACGTCCCAGACACTTATTGAGTCTTCTTAAACAGTGGACCAGTAAATAAACATACAACTGGCACAAAGCTATTCATAAGCGACTTAGGTACCAGGTAAGCATTAGGTGTAGAAGGTATACAGTATTATATTTTCAACACATATACCCATGGCTTTACTATATTAGATCAAACTCCCTTATGCAGGTACTTAAAAACTACGCCTTTCTGCGCTTCGACTTCTTCCCCGACGCCGGCGCTGCCGCTTCGGCACCCGTAGCCGCGGACGCAGACTGCGAAGCGGCAATAGCGTCCAAGACGTCCGCATCGGCGCTTAGGAAATCGGGTACTGCAGCAACAGCACCAGCACCAGCAGCAGCAGGAGGAGGTTCGACTCGCTTGGGATCGGCCTTCGCGACCAAGGGCACGGCGGTGGCGAACATGGTCTGGAACGGCCGCGCGACGAAGTGTCCCTGCACGTCGAACCACTCGGTGAAGGGGCGCGCGAGCTCGACGGTTTCTTCCGGGGCGTGGCTGTTCTTGGGCGGGGTCACGGTGATCTTGACGTTGTATATCGGGACGTTCTTCTTGGTCGAGGTGGCGATTGAGATCTGCGTGTGGAATATGCGGGTTAGATGGGGAGTTCTGTAGCTAAACCAACTAATACCGATACCGATACCGATACTGATACTATCACTACGTTGAAGGCTGGGAGGTAGTGTGTGTGTGTGTGTAGAAGAATTAGGTGAATTTGGGGGGTTAGGTTGTTTTTTACCTTGGACCCGTCGGGCGCGACGCCCTGGTACACGGTCCCCTTCTCAACGAAGCTGATCCAAAAGGTCAAGATGCCGTTGAGCAGGGCGTAGAGGGCGACGGCGGCGGCGGTGTAGTACTTGGTGGCGTCGAAGCCGAGCTTGTAGTCCCAGGCGAAGCAGGCGGCGGCGACGGCGAAGGCGCCGTACCCGAGGGCCAGCCGCGTGTCGGCCAGCCGGTGGTCCTGCCGGAACTTGAGCGAGTTCAGGTAGTTGGGGATCGCATCGTCGGAGGTGTTCTTCAGGTCTGCGGTTGGGGGAGAGAATGTGTTAGTTACTTTATATATATATATATATAAAGGACGGCAAAGCTTGGGGGTATCGGAATCATACCAGCGAGGTTGTGGACGGCAATTCGTTCCTGGGAGGCCATGATCGAGCTCGATGCTCGATTTTCTCCTAGTACTCGGAGTGAAGCTTGGAAATTGTACTTGTAACTCGCACTTGGATTGTGCCGGGTATGAGTACTGAAGATCTCAAGTGAAGGAGAGGTGGCCTTCTTGTTAGTCGAATATCTGTCTTAGTTGAGTGTCAGCTCATAGAGAGGTACAAGATACATCTTCAAAGTTGTAAGAAGAGGTACCTAAGTACATAACATGCCTATTGGAATGGCTTTCATTTGCGGCTGCTCTGGTCTTGACTGGTCTTGAGTGGGGCGCTTTAAAGTTCAGCCCTGGACCGAGCTCTGTTTGGTTATTGCATAATCCCTACCTTAGGTACCTTACCTAAATACGCTACATATATCATTATCAATGCCGACTTGAACTTCAACTACTAGTTAACTACTACAGTTCATAACGAGTATCTGCTGTTAGGCCCACAGCCCCAAGTCCGCTAATCATGGCTCAATTACAGCCTCAGACGATCTATAGAGATCCTCAGCTTCTGTAAGTTAGGTAGTCTTAGCTAGGAATCATTCGAAGCTCTACTAACTCCCCCTTGATAGTTACTGGATCTTGCTCCCGATTACGGCTGTGATGGTAGGCTCATGCGTCTCGCCTACCCGAGAGGATTGTGCGCTGATAGAAGAATAGATCCTAACAGGTGTCCTGCGATACTATGCTACCGTCCTTATGCAGAGCCCTCCCAAGAAGCTCGATCAAAAGGCCATGAGAGAGCAGCGATCCTTGCTACATGGCATCGCCGTGCGCACCAACTTTCACGTCTTATCCGAACCATCTTTCCGCGCGCGGAGAGACTATCTTATCGATGCCTATGAATCCGGTGCCTTCCTGAAAGATCCCGAGCGCCGTGGACAGCCGCCTCCGAACCCCATGACCGACCCCGGCGCCATGGACGGCATGATGGGTATGATGAAGAATAACATGGCCATGATGATTCCCAACACTCTCATCATGAGCTGGATAAATGCCTTCTTTAGCGGGTTTGTCATTATCAAGCTGCCTTTCCCACTTACTATCAAGTTCAAGAGTATGTTACAAGCCGGTGTCGCAACCAAGGAAATGGACCCAAGATGGATGTCTAGTATCAGTTGGTACTTCTTGTGTTACTTCGGATTGCAATTTGTCTTCAACTTTTTGCTCGGGAATGAAAACGGTAAGTCCACTTGCAATCACAACAATAATGTCAACGTAACGAATCTGACCCTACGGTACACTAGCCGCAAACCAGATGGCCCAACAAATGTCGGGGATGGGGCCTCAAAACGCCCAAATGTTCGGACCTGGCGTTGATCCTGATAAACAGTTCAAGACGGAGGCTGAGAACCTTGCTGTGGTTGAGCATTACTCGGTCTTGGACGGAGTAGAAGGTCGATTGCTCGAGGGTATCAAATCTAAATAAAGGAGGACTAAGGTAGCCAATCAGCTTGGCCTACGCAAATACATAGCAATTCCCAACCGAACGCCATTAAGTGTAGTTGTATACAGCTAGTTAGAAAGAACCACCGCGAGATCACTCCCACCACAGACAGACCCCGAGACCTTCTTTCATCATAGTCCCTTTGATGCGGTAAGGGGACAACTTCTTGGCTTTGTCGACTGCCTCTTCCTCAGCGCTCTCGGGCGTCTGATCGTGCCATTCCTCCTCGATCACCTGGAGGCGGACCATCTCGTTCTTGTCATACCACATCGGATCGCCATCCGGGTCGTAGATCCAAGTCCAAGCCTTTTCATTATGGTTGCTAGAGGGGGCGGTGAGTCGCATATAAAAAAAAATAAAACATACAACCAGGTGGTACCTACTATTGCGTGTTTTCGGGCAACTCCTTATACTCGACAAATATATCTTCGAAAAAATCAGTGCGGACTGACGACGATTAGTGGTTTGTGTTCTCTTGAGGTTTAGTAGAGAAACATACTGTGGATTCCGTCCTGCGTAGCTTCACTGATTCTCCCAAATATAGTCTCGCCCTTAAAGGGTCTAAAGACGATCATACGAAATTCGACTGTTGTATAAAAAGTCAGTGTTAGTACTAGACGGGGTTTCTTCGTGATGGTGTGAAAAATAGAAACTGTATGGTATACCATTGACATTAACCATTCCACTTCCATGTCCGATCAGGCCTTCGGATGCCCATAGCAGATCATACATGCAAATGCAAAGACCGATCTTCTGGATTACTCGGTTTGCGTACTTCGCATTGATGCTATCTTCAATCGCGATGTGGCTGGGCTTCTCAAAATTGTCCGGCCTGATCTGCACCAGATCGGCGATTTTCGTCTATGATTTTTTGTCAATTATACGAATATCCGGATTTTACATAAGTACCTAGACTTACCAGAATAAACATTCTTTTTCTTTTTTCGATTGTAGCTGCAGTTATGATGAAAATTTCATCATGCACTCGTTCAAATGGTAGTTACGGTACACCCTACTAGGTATAACCAGCCAGTGGAAGCTATGGGACTTTTTTTCTTGTCTAGAACGGAAGTCGCACCGTAGCAATAATAATATTATACTGTATACTATTACAAAAACACTAAGAAGTGGCACACCTTCTAGTTGATGTTTTCTATATATATACTTTGACTAAACATACCGAACATTATAATTATAAGAGCAACTAGTTAAATATTATACCAGATTAGGTAAAGAGTATTAATGCTATTTTGCAATTACTGCTATTAGTTATAAAATGTATTACTATTCTAACATACTGTGTGTGTCCACATTGGTGGTAGGTGCGCGAGCTTTTTTGACGTCTTAAGCACTTGCCAGTGCACGGAACCTTTGCTTTGTTGGCAGTCGCCGGCAGGCGTAGACGGGTTTACTGGCTGACTGGTTCAGTTATTATTAGGTACCTTAGGTAGGTGCGACTGAGGCGTATTATTCTCCGGCAGTCCGGTTATGATCAGTCAGGTACCTACTATGTATATACTACTAGGTCTGCGCTAGCGTCGCGTTAAAAAGTTTATCGCGTTTACATAAATTCTTGCAGGGGTCCATCTGTGCTGGCCTTCAAAAAATAGAACCCACACATCCATAACATTTCATCATATACGACTGAGAAATCTTCGAGTTAAACCTGCATCCGAAGCACAACTTTCTCTAGATATCTTGATCGTCTTCCCGTCTTCAACCGCGTTCATTTCCAATTGATTCACTTCGCAATTTTTTATCTTTCCTTTTCCAATTCTAGTATATCAAACTCACCAGTCTTGAAAGTCACCAGGCGGTGTGATTTACCCCCTGCCCATATAGTGGGCAGTTAGCCTCTGGTATGTTTTTGCTTTAACTACTTTCCCTCTCTTCTTTGATCTTCGCCGCCATGATTTCTAACGCCAAACCTTCTAGTTATCCCTCAGACTAACTGACGTTTACATACTTCTCTTTCTGAACTTACAAAAAAGAAAAAAAAAACAATTCAAGATGAGCAGCTATCCCTACGCGCCCCCTCCGCCAGCTCCCTCAGCAGCTTCGCCGAGCCCGTATCCCCCGTATGGTCAAGGACCGGGATACTCTCACACACCTCGCGGTGGCCATGCTGGAGCAGCGAGTAGCAGCAGAGGTCATGGCCATCACCAAGGACCCGGCCGTACTGAATACGGCTCTCCTTATTATCAAGATTACTCTGCCCCTAGCGGTGGGCCGTACAACCCTCCTCAACCGACAAATTACTGGCAAGGAACACCACCTGCGAGCCACAATCATCCTGCCGGCTCTTCAATCCCGCCAACTTACCCTCCTAGTTACGCTCCTCAGGGATTTCACCCTCAACCTAGCCAGCCTTACCAACCGCCGTATCCCAACCAGTCTTCTCGTCCTCCTTATGGAGCTCCCTATGGTCAAGCGCCTAATGAGTATGCTCAACAACCTCTTCAGCCGTGGGGCGATCAATCTCAGTCATTTTCTCACTATTCTAGTCGCGGCGGACGTGGCGGATACCCGAGTGATCGTAGTGGTCATCTACGCAGTCCTTATCCTCCTGCACATCACCAACCAGCTCCCCTCCAGCAGCCGCCGTACGGCTATCCCCCAGCCCCTTCCCCATCCTACCCCGGTTCACCACAGTCTCATTATGGACCTAACAGCAGAGGACATGGTCGTGGTGGTCACGCTCACTCGAACAGAGGAGCTCATGCTATGAACAATGATCGTGGCGAGAAGTTTCGCCCTCGTGACCAGAAACCGCACCAGCCGTTCAACAACTATCAGAAGTCTGATCCTGCTGGCGCTAAGAAGAAGAAGCGCAAGACAAACACGCTGGGACTAACCCCGGGAGATGAGGATTCAGACGAAGGTGTAGATGAGGAGAAGCGTCTAGAAGAGTTGCTCGGCACAGATGCCCCAGGGTAAGTTCCCCATTTCGTGTTCACCTGCGTTATAGTCTAAGCTAACTTGTCAGTTACAGCATACCCGACGGTGATCTCGCGAAGTGGATAGCGGAGCGCAAAGCGAATTTCCCAACTAAGGCTCGCGTGGCACAAAAGAAGGAGGCGGGATTGGTCTCGACACCGGCTGCTAACACTAATGACGGCAAGGAGACTGTTACCGCTCAGGTCGACCCGGTCGAAAAGGAAGCAGATCGTCTACGTAAGAGGTTGGCGAAGCTCGACCGGCAGATCGAGAAGCGCAAACGTGCCCCTAACGACGAGGGTGACGAGATGCGCATAGAGTCATCCTCGGAAGATTCCGACGACGACCAACCTGAAGCTTTGCCGACAGACAAATCGGCTAGCGGATTTTTGCCTCCTCCGCCCATCACACGAGCTGACCCCTCAAACCACTGCAAGTATTACTCCACCGGGGGAATTTGCGGTAAGAAGGGCAAGTGCCGTTTTGTTCACGACCCCGCTGTTCGCGAAGCCGCCCTTCAGGAGCGGACGAGAAACGGGGGTCGAATGACACTCAAGCAGCGCCTCCTTCTTAATGACAAGGATCAAGACGACATGGAAGTGATCAAGACGATTGTGGATATGCGCTCCAGCGGACGCTTACACGATCCTCATACCTCTACCGACCAGCAGGATAAGGAAAAACCCGCCGTCGCTGCTGTTTCTTCGCTTCCCACTATCGGAGGGGAGGCTAACCTGCCGCCCAACCCTTACGCGCACCTGAAGAACGCGGACAGAAACCAGCAATACCGCAAGCCTAAGAAGCATAATGATTGGCCCTCCCCCGCCCAACACCAATCATGGAACATTCCCAGCTACGCAGGTGTTGGCATGCCACCTAAGTAGTTGCCAGTTATATCCCGGATGGGGGTGGCCTTTCCACCAATCCAACTACAGTTTGCAGTGCACAGATTATAAATTTCCTCATCAATGTGATGAACTTGAGCGATAGACGCGTTGCCATGTGGCACGCAGCAGGCTATATGCGCCTTTCGGATTAGTTATCCACGAGAGATTAGGGAAAAGCTGAGTTTCTAATAATGGTTCGACATGTTCCTCTTTACCAGTTCTAGGACATGGTGGTTCCCACACGTCATTTCCAACCAATCCGTCATTCGTTCTTTTCCTGTCCACGACCTGCCAAGTAGCAGCAGGTATTATATTATCGTTTACTCCGGGTTATTATTTTTTTTTTCGTGCTCTACTCTGCATTCCTTTTAGACACAGAACGGACCAACCAAGAGATTGTTATTTACCTTTTTTTTTTCGTATTCGTACGTGGAGGGATTTTTGCCATTGCCTTAAATTGCCTATCTCGACATTTCACAACTTGGGTTAGCGAGTCTCCGAGATTGCCTCCATACACACATACATGCGTACATACACTTCCAACCGGTTATATCTGCTGTCATGGTCACAGTGGCATTTGGGAGAGGCGTCTGGCGCGGGCACCGCTGAGAAGGGGCTTGCAAGGACAAGCCTGGTTAGGGAAAGGACTTACGGATTAAACTGCGGGCGTAAATGGATAGAGATAACTAGGGAGAGCTGGCGTCCGGATTAACGGGCAGTCTGGTAGCGCGTATCATCTGAGTTCCTATCATTTCTCGCTTTCACTTCAATTTTTATTCCAATGCTTATTTTCCTGACTGGTGGTGAGTGTGACTTGGCTTGTGATATACCTTAGGTGCCTACTAGATTAGCATACTCAAGCTCATAAGAATTCAGGGGCGATAGACTAAGGCTTGGGACCTTTTAGCAATTAGACCAGAAGATACAAATCATACCTAGGTAGGTAAAAGTGATAGCGCATGAGGTTTGTGCGATTCATTCATAATATCTTTTTGACTACCTGATCTAAATTTTTATCTCGCCCGTCTGCCCCGGATGTTTGTGAGTACTAGCCTACCAAGATGTCCATTAAACGCCTGACGCCATTTGGTAATGCATATTTTTCATGCCTAAAGAAGTCTACCCGCGGAGAATTATATTGTGGTAATGGCAGTAGACATCCCGGGGTCACTTGCTCCACCTCAGACGTTCCCCTTGGCCTTTCCGTCGGTCGTAATAGTATTAATACCAGCCAACTAGACGTAAGAGGTTTCCTCATCATCTCGTAGTCCCCCCCCCCCCCCCCCCCCCGCGGGGGGGGGGGGGGGGGGGGGGGGGGGGGGGGGGGCGCCCCCCACACCCACGAGCAGAGGAGAACTGGAA